AAACCTGACTGATCTAGAGAAGATCTGTGTGGAGGAGTGGGCCAAAATCCCTCCTGCAGTGCAAACCTGTGAAAAACTAAGGAAACGTTTGACCTCTGTAATTGCAAACAAAGGCTACTGTACCAAATATTAACATTGATTTTCTCAGGTGTTCAAATACTTATTTGCAGCTGTATCATACAAATAAATAGTTAAAAAATCATACATTGTGATTCTGGATTTTTTTTTTAGATTATGTCTCTCACAGTGGACATGCACCTACGATGACCATTTCAGACCCTCCATGATTTCTAAGTGGGAGAACTTGCAAAATGGCAGGGTGTTCAAATACTTATTTTCCTCACTGTATATACAAATTAGAGGAAATTTAAATCCCACCTTGTAACCCCAAAAACTGCAGTTTAATGCAGTTTTTGTCTTTGAGCAGGTCGTTTAAAGGATGTCTCAACATTTACATGTGTTAAATATTTGAAGTATTAGCTGAAATATCAGCGTCTGTCTCTCTCAGTGGTGGTTTCAGCTCAGTCGGCGGATGTCTCAGCTCTGATCGACAGGCTTCGTGTTGCTGAACGTCGACTGGTCGAGCTGCAGACTCAGAGCGCAGGTGAACAGCGTCTCACACACACTTACTGCAGAGAAGTCACGTTCACACTCTGAGAGGATAATGCTGCTGTCCGTTTGACACGCTGGTCCAAAAACACAGAACTAAACAACTACAATTTGGTGTGAATATTTTTATAATACGTTTTAAATCGAGTTCTTTTCAAGTTTAAAAAGATCCCAAAGAACTGAAGCCAAACATTACAGCAGGTTTTAGGTTTGTGATGCTGTTTTTCCACCTGCTCGTGTTCCAGATCAAACCCTCGAGCTGACGAAGCTGCAGAGGAAACTGAACACGACGGAGAGTCTGCTGGGCAATGAACACAGGTACGTCATCCACCTGTTCATCCATCACTTCATCAGTCCAGAGGGAACGAGCTGCTGATCGCACAGCGAGAGTCACATGATTAAACATAAAAGAACACATAATGAAAGAATCACTGTTTCCTGTTCAGTTCTGCAGGTCAGACTGAGTGTCAGCGAGGAACAGCTGAAGCATTTGAAGGCTGAAAACACAGGTGACTCTGAGCATTTCAAACTTACTGTAGATTTATATCAATGTATTGTAATGTATATAAATGATGTAAAGTTACAGTATAGTTAATGTGAAATTCATACAAGTGAAAGAGAGTTTGGAGCAGAGTCAAAGTTCTTAGCTCAAAGAAACTAAAGACTGAAACTGTGGAGGATCCAACACGGTTCCCTGAGGAACTCCTTTAGAAACTTGAAGGAACCGTAATGGTTCTTGCAGAAACCTCAAACAGATATAATTGAGTTGTTAAATAGTAATTACATTATTCAGCTAAGTAAAATACATAATTATCAGTAACATTTTTAGAATATCTTATAGTAGACGTGTGTTTGTGCTGATTTTGTGTTTCAGTTCAGTCTGATAAACTTTCCTCGATGGAGTCCAGACTGGCAGACAGCCTCAACAACTCAGCAGGTAGAGTTAGATTTACTTTAGTGTTTTCATAGTAGTAGTAATTACTTAATGATATTTACTGTTTCCTCTTTAGAGCTGGAGGTCAGACTGAGTGTCAGTGAGAAACAGCTGGAAGATCTGAAGACTGAAAACGCAGGTAACTCTGAACATTTAACACTAACTGTAGATTTATATTATGTATTATTTTTAGGGCTGCAACGATTAGTCGACGTAATCAACGACGTCGACTAGAAAAATTCTTCGACGTGAAATTTCATTGTCGACGCATCGTTACATAGATGCCGTTTAAGGGAGAGATAGCAATCTTCATATTAGGAACATTTCTGGTTGTTTATTCCTAACTGCAGTGCACTACAGGAAGTGCTGGGGCAGCATCGCTTCCACTGTCTGCCATGACTGCTTGACTACTCACAAAGAAGCTTTCATGCGAGCAGCAGAAAGTAAAGGAGAAAGAGGCGAACAGTTTTTTGTTTTTACAGGTTTTGTACACTACTTAAATCACTAAATACACTTCTGAGTGGTTTTGTCAAGTAATCAGCTGTGTAGAATTTGAATATTGGCAGTTTTACCAAAGTCGATGGTGAATCGAAAATGTGCTCAAACGTTTTTGGGGTTGAGAAGCTCCACAAGCGCCGCAAGGTTAGCGGTGGCAACCGTCCGGCCAGTCCCGCCCACAGAGCGCCCTGGTCCCAGTTACTCAGACCACTGCAGCAGCAACAACAGGGGAAAGGCAGCGTTTACTATTCCTTCATTTATTTGTGGCGGCCCGCCACAATATCAACGCTGACCGCCACATACTGATTTTTTTTTATTTTACTAGGCCTATTTAAAATCGTATTTGGTTGCAGATCAGAGCCGTAGCGCATTCTCTCTTCTCTCTCCCTCATGAACACCGCAGCACAAATCTGTCCAACACAACGCTGGCAATGCCGGAAACCCAGCTTCGAATAAATAATGAACAGATTAGTCGACTATGAAAATAGTCATTAGTTGCAGCCCTAATTATTTTATATTAGTGCTGGGCAACGATTAAAATACATATAATATATACAAAGTGTAATAACGTGGTTTGCAAACACTTTAAACAAATAAGGAGCTTTTTCCCAGCAGTATTCCCTTTACACAGTAGCAATAAAATATTTCTTGTAAATCTCAACTTAAACATTAATGTAATCAAATCAAATATTAAACTGGTGCGTGTGTTCACTCGCACAGACTTCACTCGGTTAAAAACTGAAATGACCTTACAAGTCACGGTGGATATTTTACAAGCACAGACCAGGTAACGTAAAGCAACATTGACACAGGGTGCAGATGTTGGTTTCAGCTGTTTGACTTGTTTGATAGGCTGCGTCATTAACAAGCAAGCGGCTCACCTGCTGCCTTGATTACGGACGCGGGTGGAAAAATGGAAAAAAGATGACTAATAAATATATGAAGAGTGGCCAAAGCCTCCCTCCACTGCTTGTTTGGGGGGTGATTTGCAGGCTGATCAACACCCCCCCTCCCTCCTGTGACCCATCATGGTTTGACTGGATGTGTATTCAGAGCCAGTGAGCAACAGACTTTCAAACTAAAATAATAAAATAAACTGCGTTAACGTACAAAAATAATTGTCAGCGTTAATTAATAATGCATTAACGCGTTAACATGCCCAGCCCTATTTTTATATATATATATATATATATATATTGTATATTATATAACTATGAAATTCATACAGAGTAAAAGAGAGTTTGGAGCAACTTTTAGCTCAAAGAAACTAAAGATGAAACTGTGGAGGATCCAACATGGTTCCCCGAGGAACTGCTTTAGAAACTTGAAGGAACCGTTATGGTAGAAACTGAAAGAGATAATTGAGTTGTTAAATAGTAATTACATTATTCAGCTAAGTAAAATACATATTATCATCATTGTAACATTTTTAGAATATCTTATAGTAGACGTGTGTTTGTGCTGATTTTGTGTTTCAGTTCAGTCTGATAAACTTTCCTTGATGGAGTTCAATTCAATTTTATTTATATAGCGCCAAATCACAACAACAGTTATCTCACAGCGCTTTTCATAAAAGAGCAGTCTAGACGATACTCTGATGTTATTTACAGAATCCCAACAAAGACTGGCAGACAGCCACAACAACTCAACAGGTAGTTAGATTTATATTAACATTTGTATTAAGGTGTATCTGATATATACCTTATCAGATCTGGACTGAAGAGTTTAAACATGTGCTCAGTAAATATATAATAAAACAAACTCTGATTGTTGATCAGCTCTGAAGGTCAGACTGAGTGTCGGTGAGAAGCAGCTGGAAGATCTAAAGACAGAAAACACAGGTAACTCTGAACATTTAAAACTTACTGTAGATTTATATCAATGTATTATTACATATTTGCTGTATATTAACTACGAAATTCATATAAGTGTTATAGTTTGGAGCAGAGTCAAAGTTTTTAGCTCAAAGAAAAGACTGAAACTGTGGAGGATCCAATCAGGTTCCCTGAGGAACTCCTTTAGAAACATTAATAAACTGTGATGGTTCTTGTAGAAACCTCAAACATATAATTTAGTTTTTAAATGATAATGACATTATTAGACGTGTGCTTGTGCTGATTTTGTGTTTGAGTTCAGTCTGATAAACTTTCCTTGATGGATTCCAGCCTGGCAGACAGCCACAACAACTCTGCACTTAGTTAGATTTCTATAAACATTTGTATTAACGCTTATGTATCTGTAAAGAATTTCCCTTCGGGGATCAATAAAATATTTCTGATTCTGAAATAAATATGTTCTGATTATTGATCAGCTCTGGAGACCAGATTGAGATCCAGGGAGACACAGCTGGAGCAGCTGGAGAATCACACTGCAGGTAACATCCACTCTTCAGTATTACTTTTAATAAATCATTAATTAAACCATCACATTTAATGAGTTATTTCCTGTTCAGCTCTGGAGGTCAGACTGAGTGTCAGTGAGAAACAGCTGGAAGATCTGAAGACAGAAAACACAGGCAACTCTGATGGTTTATTAAGCACAGTTACATTTGATAAAGAACTTTAAAAGTTCACAGATCTCATTAAGGTTGTTACAATAATATTTGTATTTAAGTTTGATTTCAGTCCCTGACCAACAGGTGTCTTTGTCTACTTACTTTATTTCTGTACTGTGTATTAATGAACCAGATCTTTACGGTTTCCCCTTAGAGCTGGAGGTCAGACTGAGAATCAAACAGGTTCACATATGCCTGTTTGAATGATGGACTGCCTTATTGATTGGCAAACTATATATAACGCAGTTAACACTAGCTAACTTATACAGTATTTAACACTAGCTAACTGTAATGAAAACTAACTGTATATAAAGCAGTTAAAACTACCAGACTATATATAACGCAGTAAATGTGTATCTGTATATTTCTGTCTTTTGTTTTATGTTTTGAATTATTCTTGTTTCCAGTTTTTCAGAAGCGTCTGATTGATGCTGATAGTCTGACAATGAAGTTACAGACTGAAAGTTCAGGTGATTTACTTTGAATTATGTCATGTTACAAATTTTGACATCCTGAAGAGCATGAAGTAGCTTCAGAGAAGCAGCTGTGAAAAGTCACTGTTCATGCTGTTTAGTCATTTAGTCTAAGCTAGCTTTATTGTACTAATATGTTTTTATAATTTGATGCATATGGTTTTGTGAAATGTATTTAAATATTCCCATTTTACATAGTTAGCATTTTTTTTCAACAACTTTACCTCTTTTAGTTTTTACTCTAAACGCGTCAGATTTAGCATGCTAATGTTAGCTTTATCAGATGGATCAGTTCCAGCTGGCAGTTAGTGGCTGTAAATATTGACTTATGTCTGCATAAGAATTAGTAGTTTGAGAGGTGCAACCTGTTTTAATTCAGTGATGATAAAACACTGAAGAAACTCTGATGTTAAAACGAGGGTCCTGATTAATTTTGTGTTTCAGTTCAGTCTGATAAACTTTCCTTGATGGAGTCCAGACTGGCAGACAGCCACAACAACTCTGCAGGTAGAGTCAGATTTATTACATTAGTGTTTTCATAGTAGTAGTAATTACTTAATAAATCAGAAATTTACTGTTTCCTCTTTAGAGCTGGAGGTCAGACTGAGTGTCAGTGAGAAACAGCTAGAAGATCTAAAGACAGAAAACACAGGTAACTCTGAACATTTAAAACTTACTGTAGATTTAAATCATGTATTGTTATATATTTACTGTATATTAACTGTGAAATTCGTAGAGTGAGAGAGAGTTTGGAGCAGAGTCAAAGTTTTTAGCTCAAAGAAATTAAAGACTGAAACTGTGGAGGATCCAACACGGTTCCCGAGGAACTCCAAACATGAACTGTGATGGTTCTTGTAGAAATCTAAACATACATAATGAATGTTTTTAAATAGTAATTACATTATTTAACTTAGTAAAAGACATATTATCATAGAAACATTTTTAGAATATCTAATATTACATGTGTTTGTGCTGATTTTGTGTTTCAGTTCAGTCTGATATGAACCATGATGGTTCTTGTAGAAATCTGAAACATTTAATAGAATTGTTAAATAGTAATTACATTATTTAACTTTGTAAAATGCATATATTATCATTGTAACATTTTTAGAATATCTTAACATTTGTATTACCGCTTATGTATCTGTAAATAAATACAATCTGATTATTGATCAGCTCTGGAGGCCAGACTGAGATCCAGGGAGACACAGCTGGAGCAGCTAGTGAATCACACTGCAGGTAACATCCACTCTTCAATATTACTTTTTATTAATCAGTAATTAAACTATTGAATTAAACATCAATCATTTTCCTGTGCAGCTCTGGAGGCCAGACTGAGATCCAATGAGAAACAGCTGGAAGATCTGAAGACAGAAAACACAGGTAACTCTGAACATTCAACACTAACTGTAGATTTATAATCTTGTAGAATTGTTTTATATTTACTGTATATTAACTATGAAATTCATATTAAGTGTTATAGTTTGGAGCAGAGTCAAAGTTTTTAGCTCAAAGAAAAGACTGAAACTGTGGAGGATCCAATCAGGTTCCCTGAGGAACTCCTTTAGAAACATTAATAAACTGTGATGGTTCTTGTAGAAACCTCAAACATATAATTTAGTTTTTAAATAATAATGACATAATTCAAGTGAGTACAACTAACATTTTCTAGAATATCTTATAGTAGACGTGTGTTTGTGCTGATTTTGTGTTTCAGTTCAGTCTGATAAACTTTCCTTGATGGAGTCCAGCCTGGCAGACAGCCACAACAACTCAGCAGGTAGAGTTAGATTTTGTATTAAAAAAGATTATGCTTATGTATCTATATTAAATATATCTATATTAAAAAATCCAATCTGACTATTGATCAGCTCTGGAGGTCAGACTGAGATCCACTGAGAAACAGCTGGAGAATCACACTGCAGGTAACATCCACTCTTCAATATTACTTTTAATTCTCGATAAATAAACCATTGAATTAAACATGAGTCATTTCCTGTTCAGCTCTGGAGGTCAGACTGAGTGTCAGTGAGAAGCAGCTGGAAGATCTGAAGACAGAAACACAGGTAACTCTGAACATTTAAAACTTACTGTAGATTTATATCAATGTATTGTAATGTATATAAATGATGTAAATTTACAGTATAGTTACTGTGAAATTCATACAGAGTGAAAGAGAGTTTGGAGCAGAGTCAAAGTTCTTAGCTCAAAGAAACTAAAGACTGAAACTGTGGAGGAACCGTAATGGTTCTTGCAGAAACCTCAAACAGATATAATTGAGTTTTAAAATAGTAATTACATTATTCAGCAAAGTAAAATACATAATTATCATCATTGTAACATTTTTAGAATATCTTATAGTAGACGTGTGTTTTTGCTGATTTTATGTTTCAGTTCAGTCTGATAAACTTTCCTTGATGGAGTCCAGACTGGCAGACAGCCACAACAACTCAGCAGGTAGAGTTAGATTTATATTAACATTTTCATGAAAACATATGAGATATTCTGGACTGAAGAGTTTAAACCCGGGCTCAGTAATATATAAATAAATGCACCCTCATTATTGATCAGCTCTGGAGGTCAGACTGAGATCCACTGAGAAACAGCTGGAGAATCACACTGCAGGTAACATCCACTCTTCAATATTACTTTTAATTCTCGATAAATAAACCATTGAATTAAACATGAGTCATTTCCTGTTCAGCTCTGGAGGTCAGACTGAGTGTCAGTGAGAAGCAGCTGGAAGATCTGAAGACAGAAAACACAGGTAACTCTGAACATTTAAAACTTTAGATTTTAAATATTATCTGTATAAAGTGGAAAATAATATCCTTTTAGCTAAAACAGTCCAGGTAGTGATTCTTTTAACTGAAACTGTTGAGGATCCAATCAGGTTCCCTGAGGAACTCCTTTAGAAACATTAATAAACTGTGATGGTTCTTGTAGAAACCTCAAACATATAATTTAGTTTTTAAATAATAATGACATAATTCAAGTGAGTACAACTAACATTTTCTAGAATATCTTATAGTAGACGTGTGTTTGTGCTGATTTTGTGTTTCAGTTCAGTCTGATAAACTTTCCTTGATGGAGTCCAGCCTGGCAGACAGCCACAACAACTCAGCAGGTAGAGTTAGATTTTGTATTAAAAAAGATTATGCTTATGTATCTATATTAAATATATCTATATTAAAAAATCCAATCTGACTATTGATCAGCTCTGGAGGTCAGACTGAGATCCACTGAGAAACAGCTGGAGAATCACACTGCAGGTAACATCCACTCTTCAATATTACTTTTAATTCTCGATAAATAAACCATTGAATTAAACATGAGTCATTTCCTGTTCAGCTCTGGAGGTCAGACTGAGTGTCAGTGAGAAGCAGCTGGAAGATCTGAAGACAGAAAACACAGGTAACTCTGAACATTTAAAACTTACTGTAGATTTATAAATATTATCTGTATAAAGTGGAAAATAATATCCTTTTAGCTAAAACAGTCCAGGTAGTGATTCTTTTAACTGAAACTGTTGAGGATCCAATCAGGTTCCCTGAGGAACTCCTTTAGAAACATTAATAAACTGTGATGGTTCTTGTAGAAACCTCAAACATATAATTTAGTTTTTAAATAATAATGACATAATTCAAGTGAGTACAACTAACATTTTCTAGAATATCTTATAGTAGACGTGTGTTTGTGCTGATTTTGTGTTTCAGTTCAGTCTGATAAACTTTCCTTGATGGAGTCCAGCCTGGCAGACAGCCACAACAACTCAGCAGGTAGAGTTAGATTTTGTATTAAAAAAGATTATGCTTATGTATCTATATTAAATATATCTATATTAAAAAATCCAATCTGACTATTGATCAGCTCTGGAGGTCAGACTGAGATCCACTGAGAAACAGCTGGAGAATCACACTGCAGGTAACATCCACTCTTCAATATTACTTTTAATTCTCGATAAATAAACCATTGAATTAAACATGAGTCATTTCCTGTTCAGCTCTGGAGGTCAGACTGAGTGTCAGTGAGAAGCAGCTGGAAGATCTGAAGACAGAAAACACAGGTAACTCTGAACATTTAAAACTTTAGATTTATAAATATTATCTGTATAAAGTGGAAAATAATATCCTTTTAGCTAAAACAGTCCAGGTAGTGATTCTTTTAACTGAAACTGTTGAGGATCCAATCAGGTTCCCTGAGGAACTCCTTTAGAAACATTAATAAACTGTGATGGTTCTTGTAGAAACCTCAAACATATAATTTAGTTTTTAAATAATAATGACATAATTCAAGTGAGTACAACTAACATTTTCTAGAATATCTTATAGTAGACGTGTGTTTGTGCTGATTTTGTGTTTCAGTTCAGTCTGATAAACTTTCCTTGATGGAGTCCAGCCTGGCAGACAGCCACAACAACTCAGCAGGTAGAGTTAGATTTTGTATTAAAAAGATTATGCTTATGTATCTATATTAATATATCTATATTAAAAAATCCAATCTGACTATTGATCAGCTCTGGAGGTCAGACTGAGATCCACTGAGAAACAGCTGGAGAATCACACTGCAGGTAACATCCACTCTCCAATATTACTTTTAATTCTCGATAAATAAACCATTGAATTAAACATGAGTCATTTCCTGTTCAGCTCTGGAGGTCAGACTGAGTGTCAGTGAGAAGCAGCTGGAAGATCTGAAGACAGAAAACACAGGTAACTCTGAACATTTAAAACTTACTGTAGATTTATAAATATTATCTGTATAAAGTGGAAAATAATATCCTTTTAGCTAAAACAGTCCAGGTAGTGATTCTTTTAACTGAAACTGTTGAGGATCCAATCAGGTTCCCTGAGGAACTCCTTTATCACCCTGAGAGTTCTTGTAGAAACCTCTGTGTCTTTTTATATTTTGAAGTGGAAATGTGTTTGTGCTGATTTTGTGTTTCAGTTCAGTCTGATAAACTTTCCTTGATGGAGTCCAGCCTGGCAGACAGCCACAACAACTCTGCAGGTAGAGTTAGATTTACATTAACATTTGTATTACTGCTTATGTATCTGTAAATAAATCCAATCTGATTATTGATCAGCTCTGGAGGCCAGACTGAGATCCAGGGAGACACAGCTGGAGCAGCTAGTGAATCACACTGCAGGTAACATCCACTCTTCAATATTACCTTTTATTAATCAATAATTAAACTATTGAATTCGACATTCAACACTTATGTAGATTCATCTGACTGTTAAAGACCAGCAGACAGATGGACGTCAGGACTTTAAAAAATACGTACATTTCCAGTTTCCTGTTTTTGTCTGAACTGTTTTCTGCTGTTCAGATTTGAGCTTCAGACTGAACCAAACTGACGATCGTCTGCAGCAGCTCTCAAACACCAACTCAGGTTTGGACTTAAACTTAATTTTCTTCTGTTTGTGTCAACCAGAAAATATTTCACCGTCACGTTAGTATGACGTTAGTTTCTGGTGTGTTGTCCACTGAACAAAACGTTTCATCCTCCGGTTTTAAAAGACCTTTCAACAATCTGATAAAAAGTTTTTGTTTTTTGTGATGCAGAAAAGTCAGAGGACATTCAAGACCTGGTGAACTTTATTTAAAAGGTTCTGTCTCTGGTTGACAGGACGACCACCTTCATTGTTCTGTGACTGTAAATTAGCAGAAAGATGAAACGCTGTGAAACTGGAGGTTTAAAACCTGAGAGTTTCTGATTTTATCAAAGAAAGTTACAAACTCCTGCTGCGCTGAGTCAGTGTTTATTCAGTTTGAACTTTGTCAAAAGCTGTTTTTTTACAGTTAGCTGCTATGCTATATGCAGCTAGTGCAAAGCTAATTCTAACGTTTGTTAGCAAGAATTAATGTCATTATCAGAGACTCAAAGTTTCTGTGAGTGTGATGTAATGCTATCTTCACCGCGCTGCTAACTGTTTGTGTCTATAACTGGTAACTTTATGATAAATGTTGAAGAACTAATAACATGAATTAAGCCTTTCTTGGCCAGGGTGCCCTTGAAAAACAGATTTTTTCTCACTGGGTCTTTTCCCCTGGTTAAATAAATAAAAGCCAGATTGTTGTTTGCAGCTCTCATTAATGAATAAATTGATTTAGTGATTGATTTGATCTGGAATCCTGATCTACAAAACTTCATTTCAAATGTCAGATCAGATTTTCAAATTAAATGTTTCAGTACCTGTAAACTGAACGTCAATATAATAAAGGTCTTTTTATTTCTTTATAAATGATGACGTTGTTGTGAATCGTGTTTTTATAGCTTTAGCTAAAGGTTAAATCTTTTCTTCCAGGTGAGCTGAAGGTGGCGTTCTCAGCCGGTCTCACTGATTCAGGAGCCGTCGGCCCGTTTGACGAGGAGACGACTCTGATCTTCTCCAAAGTCTTCACCAATGTTGGCCGCGCCTACAACCAGACTGCAGGTAAAGCTTTAAGGCCACACCCTGACGTTGACACACAGGAACACCTTCGAGTTATACATGAATAAAGAATATGAATATGAATATGATCTCTGGTTTTTATATTTGTCGAGTGATTTCTGTATTTTCGACTTCATCCAGCTTAAAGTTAAACTCCACTGATAGTCTGTGTTTGGAGATCATTCTTTAAAACTTTGTTGCTCCTTCACAAAGAAACTCTGATGGTTTGCTAAACACGTTAACACATGGCTACATACTGTTGCGTTTTTTCAGATTTTGAGAAAGGAGAGGCTCAGTCCAATGAAAATTAACAAAAAGATTTAATTACAAAAATTAGTGAATAAAGAGATGGCATTACAGAACAAACAAATAACACTGCAGTGGACTGAAAAGTTGGTCCTCCGTTCAGATTTACAGCTTTCAGTCAAGTCCGAACAGACTGAGCTAAAGCCGCCTCCAGCAGTGGACTGAAAAGCTGCTTCTCCTCCCAGATCCACAGCTTACAGTCCTGATTCTCACAAAATAAATTGTTAATATCCTCCAGGTATGTGGGCGGGTCCATTTTCCTCCAAATGGCTTAGGTCCATAGCCATTGGTCGTCACCCAATTGGGAAGGGTGTACCTTACTGTTCTACCTTTTGGTCAAACAAAAGAGCACCGATCCCAGACGTGAAACCCCCCTTCAATCTACAGGAATAAACAGTCTTTTGCTCTAAACTAATCATAGAGAACAACTGGGCTTGTCTCCAAAATGGTTGACACCTTGAACTATCTTAAGTGTCAATGAAACAGTCAAAACAAAACAGTCCTTCTGGCACTAAACAAAGAGGTTTCAGTTTTCTTCACATTACAAAGAGGATACAAACAATGGTTTAATCAACATTCTAATGCAATTGCCTGGCCTAAAATCCTGCAGTTTTACATTTGAAGAAAAACACTGGAATTAAGTTTGTTGTAACTTTTTAAAACTCAACAATACTCGACTTATGTTGCTGGGACAGAGCAGCTAACTACTTTAGCAACAAACAATTATTTATTTATATTTAGTATGGTGTCCCTGAGAGCTCAAAACACAAGCAAATACAGACACGCTGTTAGTGACACGGAACACATCAGTTTAATTCACTGCAAAGAAACTGATAAACGTTTAATTATTCTGATTGCATGATTCAGATTTGCTAAAGGCTAACGCTAGCTAACCTGCAGATATCTGAACACGTGCTCGCTGTTCGTCAGGTGTGTTCACAGCTCCTGTCAGAGGACTCTACTTCTTCAGCTTCACGGCTGCAGATTACCTGAAGGGATACATGGGGCTCTACCTGCACAGGAACAACCAGCCAATCATCTTCAACCTGGACCTGAACGACCACGGCGGCTACGCCTCCACGTCCAACGGCGTGGCACTGCAGCTGGAGGAGGGCGACGCGATCCGCCTCAGTCTGCCCGCGAGCTACCGGCTCTACGACGACTCCCGAAACTTCAGCGTCTTCTCCGGCTTCCTGCTGTTCCCCCTCTGACAGGACCAGGATCAGGGTCTGAGGGAGAATCTGTGCTACCAGACTGGAACTGATAGACGGACTTTTGTTTTGGTGGGAATGACTTCTTGCGGTTACAACCAGGACTTCTGAAGACGACGGTGATGTGGAAATTTATCTCTGAAGCTAATGAACATTAATAAAAGAGTCTGAGCGAGAGTAAACATTTAAATATCACAACTCGTATTTCAGCAACGAGAGTCGCGTTGCTGTTCTGGAGCTTTAGATTGGCTGTTTTCTGAGTCATTCTTAACTGGGGTGGGGGATGTTTTTACTATTTGTAGGAACTGAGTTTGTTTCTTATTTCACCATTATATAACTATACTTCAGTCTCCACCTTATTTAAGTGTCACTCACTTGTTGAACCCGCCTCCTTCAGTTCTCTCCACACAGACCGAACGTACCTCTGCTGCAAACACATCAGCGTGCCTCGCTTCTTCGCGTCTCTCCCTCTATGTCTGCTCCGCTAACTTTCTCCATCAGTAGGAGGCTACGTTATGTAGAGTCGCCATAAAAAAAAACAACTTGTCTTCCGTTCACAGCAGCAGTTGCGCCGCATGTTAGCCTTTCAAAACAAAACCAACGTGGCAGCTAACGATCTGCACTAAAACATCGCTTTACCTGGTCTGTGCTCGGAAAATCTCCGTGTCGCGACTGGTAACGTAAAGACTCCGTGTTTCTCTGATAAAGGCTTCAACGTGTCGCCATATATACCTGGGCGGCCGCTGAAGTAAAGCGTATGTGTGGGAAACACTGACTGAACCGTTGTTTTTTTTTTTTTTTTACAAGCCAGGTCTTCAGCTTTCAGTGTGACGACAACAACTCACCTGTCAGGTGTGTAGAATTTATTCTCTGTGCTTACACCACTTTCCTACCTTAACAGACAAAGTGCTTTATAGTTTGTAAAACAGTATTCACCTATTCACACACCGACGACCTGCTGAGCCACGGCTCGCCTGATGACGCTGCTCCAACACTGAACAGAGCCTGAACAGGTTCAGACGTCCCGTTCAGGCTCAGGAGGATATTATAGTATTCCAGGATTAATTTATGATTTAGATTATACTTTTCATATTTTAGTGTTTGTAGTTTTGAGCTGCAGGATCTCCAGTTTAATCATTCAGTGTTAATAATAAAACCGTAAATCTGTTTCCTCAGCAGCCGCTCTGCTTACAGATTCACGTTGAAGGCGTGTTGTCGTCGTCAGGAGGACGAGCGAGGCGTGAAAGAGCGTCAGCTGACTCGCAGCATCAACCAGCTTCTGGCGAAGTTAAAAGCCAATCGTCAAAGTAAGTCTCAAACTTTTATTACAGATTGACAAAAAACAGGAAACATTTCAAACTGAACTTTGTGAGAAAGTTAAAACAAACTGTAGAAACAACCGAACCCCAAAGTTAAACCCAGCCAGCCCCTTCAAGTGATTCTCCCACAATATAAAATGTACATCGGTTAGTTAAAAATGACTTTAAATCCATGATTTTAGAAAAACATGACAGTCAGTGTGTAAAGTTCAGGCGTTCAGTAGTCTGACAGAATAAATACAAACAGAAAGTAAAGTCACACCTGCAGTCTGTAACGTTCATGCTGCTCCTGTAAAAACTCTCTACACGCTAACATCAGGGTTTCTATAACAGTAATCAATAACCCGTTCAATCGTTGTGGTTCCCTCCAAACGAACGGCGGGAATGAAAAAGGAAAAACACCCACGAGTCAGTCGGAAAAATGTCTTTAAAAACTTCAGACGTCGGTCGGACGATTCGACGCGCCGTTCCTTTAAGACGAGGGATTCTTGCATAACAAAGGAATAAAAGTCCAGAGAAAATCAAAATGGCTTCAGATCCTTCATCTGTGAGGAGGAGGGAGATGAAGAGCGTTCAGTCACTCGGCATTGTGGGTACTGATCCTCCTGTGAACGGCCTGCAGCAGCAGCAGAGAGTACTCCTCCAGCAGAGCCGCCGTCTTCACCTCCCCCACCCCTCCCAGCCCCCCCTCCACTCGCAGCAGGCTCGGCGCGCCCAGCGGCAGACAGTCCAGCTCCGCCCTCATTGCCTGGAAGGCCTCTGATAGGACGACAGCCATCTGACGCTGGTCGGGGGCGGAGTCTTCGGCGGAGGAGCCGCTCACCTGGAGAGATTCAGAGAGAGAGACAGGTGAGCATCAGGTCGCTACGTGGTGACGTCATACTTTCCACATGTGACTAAAACGTTCAGCTTCCTCTGACTCACCTTCCTGTACAGGTGTGTCGCCCTCTTGAAGCAGCTCTGCAGCTCATTGGTCAGAGCTCTGCAGGTCTCCACACTGATTGGCTGGTCTGCACAAAGAGAGAGAGAGAGAGAGGAGCTAGAAATATGAACGCTGCCGAATGAATCCAGCAGGTCAGACCTGTGATCGCCACGGTCCCACCCAGCAGGTCAGCCTGTCACTGATTGTTCAAACTGACGTCTGTTACATTAATACAATCTGGCTCATTCAGACCGTCAGCAGCAAATAATGCAACACTTAGTTTCAGCTGCACCACAGTCATCCTCACTCAGACAGTCCCGTCATCTCCAGCCTGCTAAAAACGCCAGGACGGATCACTGATCACTTTTATACAGATTAAACAGTGATTCCTGCAGTAATGTAGCTCACAGTGTTAAAGATGGATTTTATTCTGTGCTGAGGATAAATCCACGCTGTGCACAGATCTGTCCTCACATCGGTGACCGACTGATCATGAAGCGTCACGTTTGGGTAAAAAACTAACAGCCTGTCTATCAGGGATTTAAAATGTTCGACGGCGTGACTGAGGAAATGAAGCGGTGAGTCAGACAGCCGCCTCAGGCTCCGCAGTCCTGTGAACCCGAGGAGGAGGGAAGAAGAAGAAAAGTAAAAACAAAGAAAGAGGAGTGAAACGTCTCACCCGTCAGAACAGAGCGAGAGGAGGAGGAGTGCGGTGATGAAGAGGAGGATGAAGGTGAGGGGCGGAGCCAGAGCCCAGAGCCCCGACGGAGAGACGACAGGATGAAGGGGTGAAGAAGAAGAGGAGGAGGAGGATGAGAGTCCAAACCTGCGTCGCCTCTCTGCTCCTCGCCGCTGCCACCTGCAGGAGTCTGAGGCTCCTCCCCCTGCCGGGCGGGAGTTACGGGGGAGATGGAGACCGGAGGAGGCCGCGAAGAGGAAGACGAGGAGGTGGATGGTGAGAAGGAGGCGAGGGAGGGCTTGTCGGGCAGCGGCCTGCTGCTGCAGGGGACCCGAGCCTGGAGACCGGGGGGGAGGGGCCACCTGGTTACCCAGACTGGAGGAGGAGGCGACCACAACGGGGACAACAGCAACGTGGGGGGGCGTGGCCAGAGCTGCGTTGGAGGGCACCACAGCAACAAGAGGAGGCGGAGTCTCTTTGACCTGAGAGGAGGAGTTTTCTGTTGCCGCCGATGATGTCACTGCGGGATCCTCGGGGTCGGAGATGTTGAGGCCGTCGCCCACAGAGACGGAGCGGGACATCTTGGCCATGGAGCTGGCGGTGGGGCTCATGTAGGACCGAGGCACCGCCGGCGTGGAAGAGGAGGACGACGAAGACTTCCTCGGGGTGCTGAGAGCAGGCGGAGCGGCGGCTGTTTCCTGCAGGGGGGACCGGGGAGAGGCGGGGCTTGGTCTCTGGGGAGGCGGGGCTGTGGATGGGGGGCGTCTGGGGGAGGAGGGGAGGGTGGTGGGACGTTGTGGGGGGAGGAGCTGCTGAGGGGGGACCTCCCTGGACAGACGAGAGGACTCACCTGAGGAGAGAGAGGTGAAGTTTAAGTCCTCTGACAGTCTGGATCTTACTGCTCACCTGTTTCCTGATCTGTTACCTGCGTCGCTCAGCAGGTTCTGGACTGACTGAGCCTTCCGCAGTCCGGAGGAGGAGTTCAGATGGGAGGCGGCAGCCCGGGCTGTCGGGCCCAGGTTCCTCCTGGACTCCACCACAGTTTGGACCTTCTTCTTAAGAGGGGATGGCCGGTGCTGGATTGAGGAGGTCTCCTCCTCCACCCGGCTCTGCAGCTGATCTGTACCCTGCTGGATCTGGTTCCCCACCTGAGGAAGCCGTGTTTGGTCCTGGTTTGTTCCGTTCTGGAACTGTACCTGATCTTGAAGTGGGGGGATCTGATCCTGGATAGGTTTTTGGATTTGGTCATGGTTCCATGACACCCTCTTGTCCTGGGTCCGGTTCTGGTTCTGCTCCATCAGAGGTCGGACCTCTGAGACCCGAGGATGGGCCTTCACCTCTCCTCCCCCCCGGTGGTCCGAGATGGGAGAGGAAGCACAGTCCGACTGAAGAGGAGGAGAAAGAGAAGACTCATTATCAGAAACAGAACCAGAACCTCTACAGAGGTCAGTGATCAGGATCACTAAACGTGCAGAGTCATCACAAAGTGTGGTTTCACCTTCCAGCTGAATTCTGGGAGAGGAACCTGGAGGAGATGCTGAGACTCTCGCTGGAACTGTGCGACGCTCGGCTCGGACTCCCTGTAACACAGTTCACCTGTTTAAATCCACCTGGTTCAGACCCGGCAGGACCACATAGGAAGAGCAACTCATCTGAGTGTCTTCTTCAACCACTGGACGGTTTGTTGTGACAGCGGTTCAATGTTCACCAGAGAATTCAGTGATCTCGTTAGAATGAATTGATTTTGTGTTTTTAATGCTGGCGCGACGTCAATGTTGAAAATCCAGCAGCTGAAGTTTGTGTTTTGAGTTTTTACCACTATCATGACACACTGCTGGTAAACGACCAGCTCAGCCGTCTGTACAGTTAACAGAGAGGCTTCCCACACAGGCGGAGTGTGCGGTGTCAGCGCGACAGCGATTACGACACCGTCAGCGCGACAACGATTACGACACCGTCAGCGCGACAACGATTACGACACCGTCAGCGCGACACCGTCAGCGCGACAACGATTACAACACCGTCAGCGTGACAATGACACCGTCAGCGCGACAGCGATTACGACACCGTCAGCGCGACAGCGATTACGACACCGTCGCGCTGACGGTGTCGTAATCGTTGTCGCGCTGACGTTGTCGCGCTGACGTTGTCGCGCTGACGGTGTCGCGCTGACGGTGTCGTAATCGTTGTCGCGCTGACGGTGTCGTAATCGCTGTCGCGCTGACGGTGTCGTTGTCACGCTGACGGTGTCGTAATCGCTGTCGCGCTGACGGTGTCGTAATCGCTGTCGCGCTGACGGTGTCGTAATCGCTGTCGCGCTGACGGTGTCGTTGTCACGCTGACGGTGTTGTAATCGTTGTCGCGCTGACGGTGTCGTAATCGTTGTCGCGCTGACGGTGTCGTAATCGTTGTCGCGCTGACGGTGTCGCGCTGACGGTGTCGTAATCGTTGTCGCGCTGACGGTGTCGCGCTGACGGTGTCGTAATCGTTGTCGCGCTGACGGTGTCGCGCTGACGGTGTCGTTGTCGCGCTGACGGTGTCGTAATCGTTGTCGCGCTGACGGTGTCGTAATCGCTGTCGCGCTGACGGTGTCGTAATCGTTGTCGCGCTGACGGTGTCGTAATCGCTGTCGCGCTGACGGTGTCGTAATCGCTGTCGCGCTGACGGTGGTGGTGTGTTTCAGGATGTGGGCTCCTGCTGTACCTGAGAGGTCGGCCAGGGTCACAAAGTGTTCCTTCAGGAAAGCTTCCTGGTCTGGAGTCTGAGGGACGAGCTGAGGGGCCCTGACCTCTCCTCCTCCTCCTCCTCCTCCTCCTCCTCCTCCTCTTCATCCTCCTCCAGCTCAGAGGAGTTTCCATCTGTGCTGAAAGGCTCTGTGGGCTCAGAGTCTGACAGAGAGACAGATTATAGGTGAGACAGTCTGTCTGCAGTACTGGAGGAAGTGTTTGGATTCTTAACTGCAGTACGAGTACTAATACTACACTGTAAAATAAATATGTTTCAAGTCTTTAAAATGTCCCTGTTGTACTATGATACTTCCTTTCCCCAGATTCAGCTCAGATATTAGACTGCAGCTGATTATTCCCTCCATCAGTCCACTGATTCTTTGGTTTGTACAGATTCTGCCGTCACGGTTACCCAGAGCCCAAAGAGACGCCTTCACGCCGCTCGTTGCGTCCGACCGACAGTCAAAACCTCAATGTTACTAACAAACATCACAGTTATTAAAATGATTCAATCATCAAATCATTATAAAATAATACAATTTGCAGGCAAAACACTCAGTTACAAGAAAAATGCTCACAAATGTAGAAATTATAGAAATGCAAGTTTGGAAATAAAACTAACAAATTAAAAGTACACACAAATTTAGAACTTTTATCTCGTAAATTCATGTTTTTCTTGTAATTTTGTGAGTTTTATCTCGCAAAAGTTCCGTCTGTCACAGAGACTGAGAATGAGTCTGTTGGACATGGGGAAGCGAGTGAGACAGTAACTCTGGGTCTGAAACCGTCTCACTGTCCCCTGCAGGTGGATCTGGAGGAAGTACTCGGATCCTTTACCAAAGTAAAAGCCTCTGTCTGTTTCTGTCTGCGTCTCACCGTCTCCTGCAGGTCTGACTGGACTGGACAGTCTGGAGCTGAATCCCAGTGAGCATCCGCTGTCTGGACTGGGTTTGTCACGCCGTCCACCTGCTGCAGCAGGACACGCCTCCTTCACCTGGAACTCACTGACAGGAAGGGGAGGGGTTTAAAAGCAGGAACATTTCACGCAAACAGAATCTGACCTGATCCACCCTACCTTCCTGCCAGGCTCACGCTGTCCTCCCATTGGTCAGGATATAGCACCAGATTCTCCCTGTCTAGGCTCTGATTGGAAAGCCGGATGAAGTCTGGCCTCTGATTGGTCCTCGCCTCCTCGTCCTCCGCCTGGACAGACAGAATCACACACCATCTGACCGGCTCGTATCATGTGACTGAAGCTCTAGTGCTGTCACAACGAGCAAGTTCTATTCGCTGAAGAAGACCACGAAATACGGTCAAGATCTCCGGAAGAAGCTGGTAAGTGAAGCTTGAGGTCGGGTAGTGCGTGTTCTCACCCATGCAGTGGTGACCTGCAGACTCACGGTGCTCCCCAGCTCCCGATAGGGCCTGTGAAGCCCCGCCTCTACGTCTTGGCCCCTCTTCATCTGGCTGCAGGGGGAGGTGCTAACCTCAGGGGGGCGTGTCTTCACCTGGGGGGACCGGACATAAGGTCAGGTTAACGCCACGTTCAGCTCATGTAGGAGAAATTAGCGGTTTGGTTTGTATCCGTTAGTGTCCTGACCTCCTCTTGCTCCGCCTGCTGCTCCTCCGGTCTGTCGGGGGAGAACGAGTCCAGCAGTCTCAGGTCCAACATGGACTTGACCATCAGGACACCGTCCGCGCTGCCCGTCCTCCTGGACCAGCGACGGCGAGGGAGTCGACCCCCCAGAACCTCCTGAGGAGTCAGCATTTATTCATTAAGGCTGTTTCTTTGTACAAACGTTCACACTTTGCGCTGAATGTTCAGTTGAACGCCCACCGACCTTCCTGCTGTCTCTGCCGCTCTGAGAGTCCTGAGAGTCCAACTTCTCATCAGACGTTTCTGCAGGAAAACAGTGGATTTTCATTTAGCGTTTGTTTCTCTTCCAGCCTGAATACGAGTCCGTGTACATTTTAAAGCTCGAATGAGTCACGTTTCTGTTATCAATAGAATAAAAGCTAACGTGTCTTTAAACACAGTTAAAGACACGTTAGCTTCTGATTAAACACAGAAACACTGACTGGACGTCACCGATTCTCATTTTAAAGAATTTCCTCGATGGGAGCAATAACGTATTTCTAATTTAGCATGTCGTGTAGCCACGGTAACAGACCTGTCTCCTCCTCCAGTCTTCCTGCTGTGACCGTATAAGGACAGCGGAGCGCCTCTTCCTCCTCCTCCTCCTCCTCCTCCTTGTCGCTGTCAGACGACATGGTGACGACACGAGCAGACGACGCCTCGCTGCTGCTGCAACAAACACTATTTAGTCTCATATCTGTCACACACACCGACCACTTTATTAGGTACACCTAAAACAAATAGCTAATCAGCCAATCACATGGCAGCAGAAAGGGGATTTACACATATATATATATATATATATATATGTGTGTGTGTGTGTGTGTGTGTGTGTGTGGGGTTTGGACTTGGCAGGTACTTTCTGTTTTTATCACCTTCTTCACTTGTTTAAAACACTACGAGTCGCCGTCTTACTCGTTAACATTTCCCTGTTGAGAAAACTGACCGTACATTCCTCCCTCCTCATGTTCCTCTTACAAACGCCAAAAGTTTTTATTGCTGGCCGAAGTCGTGAGAATTCGTCAGCGTAGGTCTTAAATGACCACTGAACACTTCAGGTGTCGACAGCAGCTGTGAAACAAGCCCGACGTTTACCTGAGGTTTACCACTTTTTGCTGAGGTGCATTTTGGGAGTTCTGAGTGCTGCTGGGAGGTCGGAGGTCAGCGAGTCGCTGCCTCATCCTGATGGTCAACTCTGGACTGAGACGCCACACGAAGATACAGCTGCACACACACACACACACGCGCAGAGGGTTCATTAGTACTCTCATAGAAATCTTTCTAAAGGTTTTGATGTAAAATGCAAATAAGTTCATGTTTACACACACTGATCATCAGTTTGTTTTGACATAACCAGGGACAGGGGCTAGAAACCTGTGTCCATGGTAACCTACTTCATGTCTAATGCATTCATCTCTGCCAAATTAAGAAAAATAAGACGTGCCTGTCTCCAGAGACTGTGATCAGATGTCTGCAGTCGCTGCTGAACTTCAGACCCGTGACAATCTCTGAGAGGCCGACAGAGAAATAACCGTTACTCACACAGATAAGTACACACAGTACACACAGTACACACATAGATACACGGATCAATACATCCACGCATGAGACGGTGATCTACTGACCCGAGTGTCCGAACATGGTGGCCACACACTCTCCGGAGTAGAAGTCAAATATACTGATGTTCTTGTCTGAGCAGGAGGTGGCGATGTAGAGACCTGAGGGGTCGATCTGCACCTGAGGAGGACGAGGAGGAGGAAGAGGAGGTTAACGCCTGTGGACTAAATGCTAATGAAACAGCAGACTGACTGGGGGGGGTCATGTGACCTACCTTAATGAGAGTCCCATCCTCGCCCTGAGAGCCTTTATACAGCTTCTTCTGTTTCCCATTGCTGATGTTAAAGATCCTGCAGGAGGAGGAAAGAAATGATGTCTGGTTCGTAATAATTCTGCTACACTGAGCTCCTCCTCCTGTATGAATAAACATCCCATTAATACATCTTACTAACGCCACTTCTTCCCTTTCCTGTTGTTTCTGTGTGGACGTAGCGTCGGACTGCTGCTCTCTGTCTTCGTGGTGTCAGTCCTAAAGCTTCCCGCCGCAGCAGATCCATGTCTTGAATGCTGCGAGACATATGACGGTGTGGTATGTTCCTACTCTGACCAGCAGGTGGCGGCCTGATCTCACAGGTCAACACAGAGCAGCCAGACCAGGCTCGGACAGGAAACCATAAAGCTAACAACTAATTCATATCGAACGTTCATGCCAGAATGAATGAACACATGAATGAATGCAAATGAAATTTGAGTTCTGCTGCCAAACAGTATGTTAAACCTGGAAACAATAAATAAACATGGAGCTTATTAAATAAAATAACGTCTATATGGAAACTTTTCCTGCTGTTCTCCAGCCGACTGTCTGAAATCTGAGGCGGCCGAGGTTCCCACAGCGCATGAACGCACCATCAGAGTTTGTACATTTAGTGTAATGATAAAGGGTCCGCAACTGAGGGATGACGTCGTATTGCTGTTTGTCAAGAAATAAATGAGGGCACCAGAAGGGAGAGAGAGACAAGAGAAGAAGAAGCATCATGGCAGTTAATCCTAATCCACCTGCTGCTGGGTAATAATCCGGCCTGCAGACTGAAGCGTCATGTTTGTTTTAGCTGCGGGCGGATTAACACGCACGCTCTCAGACAGGTGTGTGCGTTACCTGATGCTGCGGTCCTGACAGCCCACTGCTGCGTACTTCCTGGTTGGTTCGACGTCCATGTCGTACAGCGTCGTCTTCCTCACCACGTGATGAGTCCGAGTGAATTCTAAGCCCTCCTCCATCTGCGAAAGACGGAAACAAAACAGAATCTGTTTCTCAAACTTTAATCCAAAATTGGCTCCAATTGTAACTGAATTTCGAGGAAAGACATCGTGACATGCTGCTTGTTTGCATCTACGGCAGCTGATTGGATAATGGAGATAAACAGCTGGTGGAGCTAACTTCTAAATTTCTGAAATTTGTTTTGTGTGCCAACTGAAGGTGTGCATATAAACCGGTGGATGGAAACTACCACGGCGTATTAGGGCCACTGTAGATTTTTCTTTTATGGGGGAAATTATGGAGGGATATTCACAGAAAAATCTCAAAACTTGCAAGATTAAAGTCAAATTTGTTCTTTTTATCGCATAAATTTACCACTTTAGTCTCAGAATCTAACAAAATGTGAGTTTTATCACAAAAATGTATTTAATCTGAGAATATCAATTAGTAGTATCACATAAATTTACTTTTTCGTAAATTTAAGTTTTATAAATTTTTTTCTTGCAAATTTGTTTATTTTGTCTCATAAATTTGTGATTTTATCGCAAATTTGTGAATTTTATTGCATACATTTATCACTTTAATGTCAGAATATCAGTGTTTTTTGTGAGTTAAGGGATTTGAGTTTTATCACTCAGGAAAACAGAAGAGCTACTTTGTGACATCACTCAGGTGTTGCTCTCACCTGCTGAGCGGTGCGGAAGTAGACGCTCTTATCGGCTCCACAGCTGATCATCCTCACCTTTCCCTCATTGGCTGACAGACAGGAAGAAGGTGACGTCAGAGGAGAAACATCAGCAGCAGAGTTTATTTCTACCAACAACTGTAACATGCCGCGACTCACCAGCGAATCGGACGGCAGTGATGGATGACGAGTGTTCATCCAGAGTCTGAACCAGACTGTACTCTCTGCCTGCATCCAGGACGTGGATCAGACGATCCCGACTGGCCGTGGCTAATAACTGGAGACCTGAGAGACAGACGGAGATGAAACCAGCCTGAGTTAAGTGTGGTCGGCGCCCCCTACAGGCTGCAGAGTTTCAACATCTGTACAGCAGTACAGAGGCTCCAGACACAGCGAGCCTCTGTACTGCTGTACACTGACGGCCCACCGCCTCATTTTTCTCTTTACATAAAGGCTAAAAGCAGAACAGCTAAAATGTCCCGGCTGACTGGCAGGAGACCCGGCCGCTCGTCATCCTGCAGCTTCTTCAGGAAGGTTTCTGGCTGAAACGCTCGAGACCATCAGAATAGAATCCAGAATAGAATTTAAAATCATACAAAGCTCTTAATGGTCAGGCACCATCTTATCTTAAAGAGCTCATAGTACCTTACTACCCCACCAGAGCACTGCGCTCCCAGAATGCAGGGTTACTTGTGGTTCCTAGAGTCTCCAAAAGTAGACTAGGAGCCAGAGCGTTCAGCTATCAAGCTCCTCTCCTGTGGAACCAGGTTCCAGTTTGGGTTCAGGAGGCAGACACCATCTCCACATTTAAGAGTAGGCTTAAGACTTTCCTCTTTGATAAAGCTTATAGTTAGGGCTGGCTCAGGTAGTCCTGAACCATCCCTTAGTTATGCTGCTATAGGCCTAGACTGCCGGGGGATTTCCCATGATGCACTGAGCTCCTCTCTCCTCTACTTTCTCTCCCTCTGTATGCAACCTCATCCCATTATTGCATGTTACTAACACAACTTCTCCCCTTTCTGGTAGTCTTGTGCTTTCTCGTCCCTCTCCTCTCTCCTCCTATCACTTCCTGCAGGTGTTTCTGGCTCTGGAGCTGTGGAGTCTGGATCTGTGGTTGCGGGTCACCTGCTGCCCCCGTGTTCCTGCTCGACACCCTCTGCTGCAACGACTATTGTTGCTAGTCCTATTGTTATTATTGTTATTATAATCATTAACATTACGATTGTTATCATTAACACTATTATAAATATCTGTACCATTTTTCATTTAGTCTATAGCAACATCACCTTTACTGTCTGTACCTCTGTGTGGATATTGTGTAGGCTGCCTCCCTCCCCTCTCTCTTCCTTCCTTCCTCGCTCTCTCTCTCTCTCTCTCTCCAACCGGTCGAGGCAGATGGCCGCCCACCCTGAGTCATGGTTCTGCTCGAGGTTTCTGCCTCTTAAAGGAAGTTTTTCCTTGCCTCTGTCTCCTAGTGCTGCTCTTGGTGGGAACTGTTGGGCTTCTGTAAATAACATCACAGAGTACGGTCTAGACCTGCTCTTTTATGAAAGCGCTGTGAGATAACTGTTGTTGTGATTTGGCGCTATATAAATAAAATTGAATTGAATTGAGACGTTTCAGATCATCTTTACAGTCTGGGAGGAGCTGGCCCTGACTGCTGAGGTGGCGTTTACTCTACAGGAAGTGATGTCACTCCTGCTGTTAAACTGTGTGTGTTCACAAAGCCTCAGCATTCCTCTCGCTGTGCTGCAGTTTCCTGGTCGACAGGACTGAACAGTTTTACTATCGATGAGACCGCCGACACTTTCACAGCCGGTTTTAAGTGTGTGTGTTACTGTGTGTGTTACTCTGTGTGTTACTCTGTATGTGTTACTGTGTGTGTTACTGTGTGTGTTACTGTGTGTGTTACTCTGTGTGTGTGTGTTACTCTGTGTGTGTTACTGTGTGTGTGTTACTGTGTGTTACTATGTGTGTTACTGTGTGTGTTACTATGTGTGTGTTACTATGTGTGTGTTACTATGTGTGTGTTACTCTGTATGTGTTACTCTGTATGTGTTACTGTGTGTGTGTGTGTTACTGTGTGTGTTACTCTGTATGTGTTACTGTGTGTGTTACTATGTGTGTGTTACTATGTGTGTGTTACTCTGTATGTGTTACTCTGTGTGTGTTACTGTGTGTGTTACTATGTGTGTGTTACTGTGTGTGTTACTGTGTGTGTGTTACTGTGTGTGTTACTGTGTGTGTTACAGTGTGTGTGTGTTACTGTGTGTGTGTGTGTGTGTGTGTTACTGTGTGTGCCTTCATCTGGTTACCTAGGAAACGGTAACTGAGTTCAGTTTGACAAACGGCGTGAACAGAAAATGAGACCGTTCCTGTGTGGACACAAGTACAGGTCGTTTACTGTTGTTTAGAGACTTACTCTGAGAAGGTGGCGGCGGCGTTGGGCAGGTGAAAACAGGTGAAAACATGACAGATTTCTGGGCTGGGCCCCCAGTGTTTGAAGGGCCTGGAAACACCCCTGCTGTGAGCAATAAACCACACAGCGAGACTAAAGGATCAGGAAACCTTGGCAGCTGCTTTGGTTCATTAGCTCTTCTCAGGTCGACCTTTCTGTAATATAAATTCTAGATTCTAAAGTGGCGTTGGCGCAGTGGATAATGTAGCAGGTCTAAAACCATGTAATATTTTTAATAAATTTATGAGAATTAATACCCAATTATGAATTATGAGTAAATGCTGCGACTGTCACTTTAATTTAAAGCTTTACTGTTTGACTCACAGAGGGCTAAAATAAATATCATCAGTTAGGAGTCTGCTGATCGGCTAATAAATGAAAGGATAAGATTAGGGATGGGGATCGAGATCCGGTTCTAAAAGGACCCGGTTCCAAAATTTCTCAAAACCCGAAAACCAATAAGGTTCGAGCTTATCGATACTGCGGGTCCTAAAATGTAACGTTATGTCTCGAGCGTCATTTATCTTGAAATGCAATGGATAAGAAAACTAATGTTAATTTATTGATGACACCGAAACGTGGTATTAAACTGTTCATCATCGGGCTGCAGCTCTCTGTCACGCACATGAAGCAGGTCTAAAGCCACGTATGATTTTTAATAAATTTATGAGAATTAATACCCAATTATGAATTTTAATATTCAGAAAATATGAATCCATAAATCTCTCGTTTCGGGGCACCACCAGAGTTGTTATTAACCCAAAGTCTCCGGACCTCTGGGTAGCATTTTAATAATTATACAATTATTCACTAGTGATCAATTAGTTAATAATGGCTCAATTATCTTAAGTCAGTCAGTCAATCTCATCTGAAGGGTAAATTCTCTTGGCAGGGACTTAGAAATAGGCAACACACACAATTCCTTGATTAGTGAATTTATTAGCTAACTAAGGTGATATAAAATGCAGTTAAATACACTAAAGAAATAAACACCGGCTAAACAATGAGAAGGGGTTCCTATTGTGGGAGAATTTGACTCATACAGCAGCTAATGAATGCAATTAGAAGATAACTCAGTTAAACCTGTCTAGGGGTTTAAGGACTGAATATAATGGATTAACAACTACTGGACATCACTGACCACAGGATGCTTTGTTTTGCCTTACGGTAGGTTGGCGGCCTGCCTTGGCCTGTTGCACGGCTCCCACGCTAGCTGCCCGATTCCTGGCTTTTTGCTAGGGAATTCTCTGGGGTTCTCCGTGTCTGGAAGGAAGGAAAAACCCTCAAGGGTTGGCCGTCCTCCGTCTCGCAATTCGGCTGTTCTTCAGGTGTCCTTTGTTGCTGCTGGCGAGACCACGTGACTGGGTCTGACCTCGGTGACGTTAGCTCGACGAATAAAGCTTAAAGAGAACTTGGTTGTTCTTGAATTACACTAGTGTAACTTAACGGACTGATAACTTTTAACAAAACAAACCAAAGAAAATAAAACGCAAGTAAAATTGCTGTTAAAAGAGGGAAAAGCTGATGTCGCGGCACTTCGCGTGTGTAGCTTCAAACGAAACAAAGCTTTTGTTGCGCCGGGCCGAACTCTTAGGGTGTTGCCGGGAGAGGGGGCACGCCGGGCGCGTGCCGAAGCGCTGTTGAAGCGTCAGGAACAAAACAGAGCACAAAGAACAAGAGACAAGAGAGCGAACAACCTCGTGTGTCGCGCTTTTGTTGGTTGGGGCGTGGTTCCCCAGAGGGCAGTCCTTATTGGCCGTTTCCGGTTTCCTGAGGGACTGTCTTTCTAAACTTTTAATATGTCTTAAAAAAAAAGGAAAAGAAAATCTGTTTGCGCGTATTATAATCAAATATTTTCCCACAATCAAACCTCAATGGTCAAACGGTTGTACCGTTCTTAGTTTTAAGCACCTGATAAGGGAAACAATTGTCAAATAATTGGTCATGAGTGACATTTATACATTACCGGCATTTCATACGATGGTATGTAATACTTATTTCGTCCACTTGGGAGAGCTCAGGTTACATGACGATAGCTTGGATTAACCCTAAGACAATCTTTGCTCAGGAACTGGGAAATTCAGTTATTTAACCTTAAATTCAAGCTGGCAATTAATAGAGTATAGTATGACATTTCTTTATCCTCATTTCTAAAGAAGGTGTGTGAGAAAGTATTGTGAACAAACATTGGTTACACATAAAATGAAGGAATGTCATTAACCTTGCTGAAAATTAAAACACTGCAAAAGTAACTTAATTAGATTCTTTTCAGCAATAATATCAACAACAGATAGCAACAACATGGTAACATAACTAATCAAACAGAGGCAAACGTAATCAAGTAACTAAAAGATTATTTAATTAAACGAGGTAATGCTTTGAGTCTTTGGAGACAGCAGTCTGTTTACACAAAGAAGTTCAGGGCTGTCCCTGGTGTCCTGGATTTTCTCACCTGGGCGTGAAAAGGAGTATCCCTTTGATGAGAGGTAATTAAACACAGAGCAAGGTCAGTTGCCATGGTTACGTGTGTGTGGGGGGGCAGTTTAGGGTTTCCTGCCCCCTCTTAAGGAGAGTTTCGATAGGCTGTTTGTAATCTCTGGTTAGTTTCTTTTGTCATTTGAACAGTTCAGGCACCGAGAGGCTTATCTCGGCTGTTGCCAAAGGTGGCCTGTTTTACGACCAACTGCCCAGGAATAGCACTTAGAGAAAGCGACCTTTCAACCCCCCTTCCTTTGGGGTCGCTTCAGCTGTCTGTAGGGGTTGGTGATCGGGTTTGGTAAATTTATTTAATATAAATGCACAAATCCACACTGTTGGTACACTACAATAAGACACACACCTTTGGGTTCAATTCTCACTGCGACACACGAGCAAGACACTTCACCGCCAGCTGCCAGAGGCGTTAACATTTCCAGCAATTGTAAGTCACTTTGGATAAAAGCGTCTAAATCTGAGATTCACAAAGATTTTGAGATACTGGAGTTTTGATTTCTGTGAGCTGGAATCATCGAGCAAAACACAAACCTGAAATATTTCACTCGATGTGAATCTAGAATATTTGAATTAAATTGTGGAAGAACATGAACTTCTCCACGATGTTCTAGTTTTGTGAGATGCAGCGGTTTAGTTGTGTTAAAGATCAGAGAAGATCCCAAACTGCTCCTGAGAGAGACCGGCACTTTTTACAAAAGTACCAAACCATTTTAAGTAACAAAATAAACTACAGTATTTTCACATTTAAAAACTCCTAAAGATACTCTTCACCTGAACACTGACTCAGCTTTTCTCTGCGTCACGTGATGAATCTGTAACCAGTTAACGGATCAGACCCTCTCGTCTCGCAGTGATCACGCAGATGAAGGTGAGTTTGACACAAATTAGACCACGGACCCCCGTTTGATAAGATTTGGCCCCAGGGTGGCCCTCTGATAGGAGTGTAGCTTTTAATTGTTTGATTACAGAAAGTGGATGAAACCATGAACAGACTAAATATAAATGATTCCTCTTTTTGCTGGGGGCCCCCTGGAAATTAATGCAAAATGGACCTTTGACAGTTTAACAAGACCGTTTTTGTTGGAATATAATCGATCGGTGGATTAAGTTACTGTGAGGCTTCACATGTGATTCGCATCACTTTTGCTTGTACTGGCTGGTCTGATGGAAGCTCTGATTGGACACGCTGTGGTGATCGTATCTTGAAATGGTTTGCATTGGTTGAATCACGAGGACTTTAGCTTTCAAACAGTGGATCATATGAGTATGAAGCTAACATAGTTGCTGTGTGCACAGACCAAAAGCTGCCGCCAGGACCTGACGGCCCGCGGGTGTGATCCAAAATGTGAAGCTACTCTCATCAAATACAAATAACAGAATCCTATTTTGTCCTGAGTGCGTGAAACTTATTACATATTTTGTAATAAACAGTATTTCTATACAGTGTTTTATATTCTGTATTTTCTCACCTGTATCAGGTTTGGAGAACTCGAGGCAGAGGATCTCTGAGTCGTGAGCCTGAACGTTCATGATCTCCTCCATACTGTCCAGATCATGGATCCTGCAACACACACAGTGTTAGACAGCAGTAGTGTGTGTGTGTGTGTGTGGAGACTTAACTGACTCAGCTGCTCATTATGTCTTCTCGTTATTAACCCCGCCCCCGCTCACCTGAGGACTCCTATGCGGTCTCCAGAGGCCAGGTGCTGTCCATCCGGACTGACCCTCAGGGTCCTAATGCCCGCTCTGCTTGTGTCAGTCTGCTGCCCCTCTGAGCCCGATGACCCCGCCTTCTCAGTGTTGCCACCTGTGACGACACCGCTCTCAGTGTCCATGAGGCTGCTTATGTTGTCGTCCACGTAAATGACCTTCTGTAGGTCCTGTGGGGTCAGAGATCAGAGAGGTGAGGAAGGCGTCAGGAGTATAGTTGTGTGTCAGGGTAAGTGAAGTGTACGGGTGCAGGTGTGTTAGGGTAAGTGAAGTGTACAGGTGCAGGTGTGTTAGGGTAAGTGAGGTGTACAGGTGCAGGTGTGTTAGGGTAAGTGAAGTGTACGGGTGCAGGTGTGTAGGGGTAAGTGAGGTGTACGGGTGCAGGTGTGTCGGGGTAAGTGAGGTGTACGGGTGCAGGTGTGTCGGGGTAAGTGAGGTGTACGGGTGCAGGTGTGTGTAGGGGTAAGTGAAGTGTACGGGTGCAGGTGTGTGTCGGGGTAAGTGAGGTGTACGGGTGCAGGTGTGTGTCGGGGTAAGTGAGGTGTACGGGTGCATGTGTGTCGGGGTAAGTGAAGTGTACGGGTGCAGGTGTGTGTCGGGGTAAGTGAGGTGTACGGGTGCAGGTGTGTCGGGGTAAGTGAGGTGTACGGGTGCAGGTGTGTGTCGGGGTAAGTGAGGTGTACGGGTGCAGGTGTGTGTCGGGGTAAGTGAGGTGTACGGGTGCAGGTGTGTCGGGGTAAGTGAGGTGTACGGGTGCATGTGTGTCGGGGTAAGTGAGGTGTACGGGTGCAGGTGTGTGTCGGGGTAAGTGAGGTGTACGGGTGCAGGTGTGTCGGGGTAAGTGAGGTGTACGGGTGCAGGTGTGTGTAGGGGTAAGTGAGGTGTACGGGTGCAGGTGTGTGTCGGGGTAAGTGAGGTGTACGGGTGCAGGTGTGTAGGGGTAAGTGAGGTGTACGGGTGCAGGTGTGTGTCGGGGTAAGTGAGGTGTACGGGTGCAGGAGTGTGTCGGGGTAAGTGAGGTGTACGGGTGCAGGTGTGTGTCGGGGTAAGTGAGGTGTACGGGTGCAGGTGTATGTCGGGGGAAGTGAGGTGTACGGGTGCAGGTGTGTGTAGGGGTAAGTGAGGTGTACGGGTGCAGGTGTGTGTCGGGGTAAGTGAAGTGTACGGGTGCAGGTGTGTGTAGGGGTAAGTGAGGTGTACAGGTGCAGGTGTGTGTCGGGGTAAGTGAAGTGTACGGGTGCAGGTGTGTGTCGGGGTAAGTGAAGTGTACGGGTGCAGGTGTGTGTCGGGGTAAGTGAGGTGTACGGGTGCAGGTGTGTGTCGGGGTAAGTGAAGTGTACGGGTACAGGTGTGTAGGGGTAAGTGAGGTGTACAGGTGCAGGTGTGTGTCGGGATATGTGGGTTCTCGTACGTGGCTCAGGATGTTCCTGTTCTGGACGTTGCTGTCAATGTTCCACAGTCGGATGGTGTTGTCTGAGGAGCAGGACAGGAACGACCCGGGTGCGAGGCGCACCTCGCTGCCTCCTCCTGCTCCTCCTCCTCCTCCTCCTGCTCCTCCCCCCTCTGGGTACACCTGCAGGAGACACAAAAGGCATTTAATAAGTCAAGCGACCAAACTCTGCCTCTAATCAGCAACCTGTTTACTGGTTACCTCTTATTATTTATTCATCATTCTCTCCTTCCCTATTTCAGAGCTGTATTCCAAATCCACCCACCTCAAGTTCATTACTCCTGCACATAATATTTGATCCAGCATCCATCGCACTGTGTTCATGTATGCGTATATGCACCTGTATATCTCATCCACCTCCGACATGTACATAATAATAATACTAATTTACTTCTGCATCCTTTGCACTCTGCACTATTGGTCAATCTGTCTATATTGTTTTTGTTGTTATTTATAGCGGGCATACATGTGTTCTCTATACTGTAGCCTGTGTCTGATTTTATTATTGTATATGAGTAAGCAATGTACAATCCAGAGTCAAATTCCTCGTATGTGGACACACATCTCGCAAATAAATCTGATCCTGACAGGAGGTCATCACTTGTAATTTCAATCAGCTGAGACTTGCTTAAGACAGATGATTCATCATTGTACAGTAACTAACCCTCCCCCTGATCAGTGACTGTCCAATCACAGTTTAGCTACAGTAAGTCGTCTCAGCAGGTGTGTCAGTGTGTGGACCTGCACCTGCAGTCAGAGAGACTCTGTTTAAAGGGTCTGTTCAAAGCCACCAGACTCCATGAACAAAAACAGTAATTTTACCTCTGCCTCGATCTGTGAGTTTGTTTGTATCATTGTGCGACTTTAGTGTTTTTAATCCTGTAAAAACACCACAGTCACACAGCAACATAATATATTCATGTGTTCATCTCTTCCATCTGGGTTTGGGGTGAATCCTTATTTAAAGATGAAGCAGCAGATTCAGGGATTCACTCCACCGTTTCCTGTGCAGTTTTAGCATTGCTCGTGCTCCTATCATGTTATTGTGTTTTTATGACCCACTGCTGTTTCAGCTCTGTGACCTTTGACCTCTTCGGAGGACTGGAATGTGTTCACACTGACCTCCAGGCTCCACACACAGGAGGAGTGGTACAGGGCGGAGTACAGCTTTCCCGCCCTGCGGGGGTCTCGGAGGTCTCTGACGTCCCACACATAAACACTGTGGTCGTTGTAGACGCACGACAGCCAGCGGTTGGTCGGGTCGTAGGTCACCGCCACCGTGTCCGGGTAACGAGCCTCAGGCTGGCAGGAGAACAGCTGACTGAGGAGGAACAGAGAGAGCTTAGGGAAGAGTTGTTTTAGTTTGATGAGTTCCTGAAGGATTGTGGGGATTCACAGAGACGTTGACGTGGCAACTAAAAATAAAACCCATGCTGATGTTTCCATGGTTTCCATGGTAACCTGTCTACATGTCCAGTGGTCAGCTGATGTCTGAATAAAAACCAGACTGACTGAGGTTTCCTGTTCTGCTGCCTATAAATAAATATATACTGAAGTCAAAGTATTTATCGGTGCACTACTGTAACGCTGTAAACACAGTTTGACCCCAATATACACACTGTAGGATGTTGTTGATATACAGCATATTTATATACAAACGTGTGTGTTAAGCGCGTTACCTGACAGGTGACAGCTGAGCGCGTTACCTGACAGGTGACAGCTGAGCGCGTTACCTGACAGGTGAGCGCGTTACCTGACAGGTGACAGCTGAGCGCGTTACCTGACAGGTGACAGCTGAGCGCGTTACCTGACAGGTGAGCGCGTTACCTGACAGGTGAGCGCGTTACCTGACAGGTGAGCGCGTTACCTGACAGGTGAGCGCGTTACCTGACAGGTGACAGCTGAGCGCGTTACCTGACAGGTGACAGCTGAGCGCGTTACCTGACAGGTGACAGGTCAGCGCATTACCTGACAGGTGACAGGTCAGCGCGTTACCTGACAGGTGACAGGTCAGCGCGTTACCTGACAGGTGACGGGTCAGCGCGTTACCTGACAGGTGACAGCTGAGCGCGTTACCTGACAGCTGAGCGCGTTACCTGACAGGTGACAGGTGAGTGTGTTACCTGGCGTCTACCATACAGGAGATGTCGGCTCCCAGACTGTGTGGGCGAGGCAGGGTGCACAGGAAGTGCAGGCTGACGGGGCTGAAGGCCCGGACCGTCCCATCAGAACAACCGCAGAAGATCAACTCGTCTGTGACGGTCAGACAGGTGGCCTGAGACGTCTGATGACGGACAGACAGACAGACGACAGGTGAGTCAAACCATTATGAACTCAGGACGTTCACTTCATCTTGCTGAGTTGTGAGGACACCGTGAAAATGAAGATGTTTTTGATCCTGTAATTCTGACGTTATGAGATCCTAGGAGTCATTTTTAGTGAGGAAGCATCTACCTGTGACCTCTAACCCCAGGTGAGATCTAGTGTAGGAATAAGTTAGACAGACTTCCATTTGCAGAAATCCACCTGCACTGACTGAAAATGGATTTAAAAAAGGAAAACAACATATTTTCTTAATTTATTTAATATTTTCTTCCCTTGCTAGTCGTTTCTCCGTGTTTCCAGTCTTTGTGCTAAGCTAGGCTAAACACAAACTGCATAATATATGCTAGCTGGTTTTAGCTTCCATTAACATCAGCTAGAATCGACCAGCCTAGTTCATTCTTTCCAAAAAAGCTTTTTCTGGAGCTTCCAATTAATATAAATAAACACTAGTAAGTTGACCTTGAGTTCAGATTTTCAAGTTAGCATTGTGTTGTATATGCTAACTATTTGTAGCAATGATGACATGTACTAGTTATAAACCCATGTCATTACTAACACTGTGGCTAATCTGGCATCACTCTGCCTCTGGTCTTTCTGCTAAGCTAGGCTAAACCTGGTGTAACCCTGAAGACATGCCTTTCATACCTTTCAACAACTATGTTATATAGTTGCCCCTGCCTCCAGTGTTTGTGCTAAGCTAAGGCGAAACACGCCCTGATACTGATATCAGTTTATCTTTCTAAACCTGTTCAATAAACAAGATGCAATTAAATCAGACAGTTGTAGTTCTGATGGTGCTAAGCTAAGCTAGCAGCGTCGGCATACACGGCCGCAGTTCATCAGATCCCGTCAGATTATTGGCAGAAAGTGAGACATGATGATGCATCAAATCTGTGTTTGAGAACCTGGAGGCTGTTTCTGTTCTTTGAGTCTGAAACAAAGACTGAAGATGAAGTGAGAGAATGTGTGTGGGTGAAGATTCAGACAAAGACGGCTGTGACTGTGCGCTGCTGCTCGGTCAGGACTGCTACTGCAGTATCACTACTGCTGTATTAGTACTGCAGTATCACTACTGCTGTATCAGCAGTATCACTACTGCTGTAATAGTACTGCAGTATCACTACTGCTGTATTAGTACTGCAGTATCACTACTGCTGTAATAGTACTGCAGTATCACTACTGCTGTATTAGTACTGCAGTATCACTACTGCTGTATTAGTACTGCAGTATCACTACTGCTGTATCAGCAGTATCACTACTGCTGTAATAGTACTGCAGTATCACTACTGCTGTATCAGCAGTATCACTACTGCTGTAATAGTACTGCAGTATCACTACTGCTGTATCAGCAGTAGTGATACTGCAGTAGTGATACTGCTGTATTAGTACTGCAGTATCACTACTGCTGTATTAGTACTGCAGTATCACTACTGCTGTATCAGCAGTATCACTACTGCTGTAATAGTACTGCAGTATCACTACTGCTGTATTAGTACTGCAGTATCACTACTGCTGTATCAGCAGTATCACTACTGCTGTAATAGTACTGCAGTATCACTACTGCTGTAATAGTACTGCAGTATCACTACTGCTGTATTAGTACTGCAGTATCAGTACTGCTGTATTAGTACTGCAGTATCAGTACTGCTGTATTAGTACTACAGTATCACTACTGCCGTATCAGCAGTATCACTACTGCTGTATTAGTACTACAGTATCACTACTACCGTAGCAGCAGTATCAGTACTGCTCTATCAGTACAGCCACTGGAGTACTGCAGTATCAGTAGTATCAGTACTGCAGCAGCGAGAGGATGCAGGATGTTGGTGGGGGATGCTGCGTTCAGGGTCCTCTGTGAATGTGAGTGTGGAGGGTGAACGGGGTGTTACGTCACTCCAGTGGTTATGAAGGATTGCGGCGTACGGTGAAACTGACCAATGGAGTGAGAGGAAGGAAGTGAAGTGGGCGTGTTTGAGTCAGTCAGTTCAGCCAGTGAGGACGAAGATTCAGATTTTTTGGATCAGATTCATGTTCTTCAAAGTTCCTTCTGTTCTGAACGTTTATCAGCCAACATAGAGCTGAAGAGTGAAGCTTCTCAGTCCTCCAGCTCTTCGCTCATCAAAGGAAGGCTTAAAACAAGGGCACCTGGACTAGCTGAAGATCCTGATCCGGTCCTCTTCATTTTAACCTTCCTGGGTAACTAAAGAGCTGAATGTATTAACGACGTGCAGGAGTGGCGAGCTCCGTTTTCTAGCTGTGGGGTCTAATAAGTAAACCAAACCAAGTTGACCTTGTTCTATGAAACCTTTCCCCTTTTCGGTCAGAGCAGCAATGAAAACTGTCAGTGGACAGTAGATCTGCTGCAATGTTTAGCGTCTTTGGCCAATTACAAACCATCTCAACAGAATGCAGGAAGCTGTTTTAGCTAATTAGCTGTGAGGGTCACTAATCTCGGGATGCGCTCGCTGCTGGGCTCCTTTTTAAAAAACAAAGCTGCAGAGCTGAAACGATTCATTCAGAAACTCAAATAACTTGTTTAGTCTGTCCACTATACACGGCGCAGTGTTTCGCACGGACGGTTATTACTGTCACACAACGTGCTCGCGCTTTGCCCACCTGAAGACGACGTGATCTGATGGCGCTGTTAGCAAAATGTAGGCAGAGAAAACAGCGTTCCCAAAGTCTGGGATCATTTGAAGCTAACAGGAAACAGCAGCTCTGTGCAACAGAACCACGGCTTCAGCACCTGAGCAGAAAGACCCGGTCTACGCATCCACGGAGCAGACCCAAACTAGCTAACGTTAGCATTTAGCTAGTTGAGATGAAGGCTAACAAAGCTGTAAATGTAGAAACGTTGTTGTTCTCCGACTGGTTGGTCCGTGAGTTTGAGTCTCCTGAATAAACTTTTTGTCCAGCTAGCTTAGAGCTCGGAGCGCTATCGTAGCTGGCTAGTGTTAGCGTGTTCTCAGCTAGCCGGTACGTCACCGAACACACAGAAGAACCAAACACATATTCTGCTGAGTCACTTTCTGGTTTGGCCTCAGATTAGAGCTGGGGCGATTCGTCGACGTGGTCGATTACGTAAATACGTCGACAGGAAGAGGTCGTTCGAGCCGTTTGGAACAGCACTCGATGCCTCGCCGTCCTGTTAGACGCCTGCTGAGACAGACGTTCAGCCCGTGTGAGTTTCTGAGGCACAGGAAGCGTATTCACGTCACGTCGACCTCAGTCAGTCAGACGTCACAGCCTGCAGAGCTCATGATGTTTCCGTCAGACATCTTTCTTCTCTTTAGCGTCACATTTTCTCATCAATCTGATCAGGGTAAATGTTTGAGGAGTCACGGGAGGAACTGACTGAGTCGAGGCGAGATGACGACTTACGGAGGCGGAGTCGACTCTCTGCACAGGAAGCAGAGGAGGAAGCAGAGGAACTTCACATTAGAGCGTTTAAACACAGAGAAACGTTCAAATCATTCAACAGGAAGTTAATATCAGTTTATCTGGGGTCAAACACCCGTGACCACACCCAGCGGTGATGTCACGGGGCGCTGGAGTCCACCTGTACGTCACTGTGAGCGCTCCCACTCACCCGCAGCTCCACCCACTTGTCGAGGAGTCGCCGGTCGTTGAACTCGCACAGCAGACCGGAGGAGGTGATGCAGAAGGTGGAGGCGGCCTGTCGACCGCGCCCGCACGCCACATCGCTGAAGAAGTTATTCCTGAGCTCTCCCAGCAGCCCTGAACGCCCCAGCAGAGGGACGGTGGCGTTCACCTGGAGACGGATGGAGAACAATTTCAATACCACAATCATTACACACCGTCTGTATTAACAGGTGATGAACAGGCGATCGACGTGAGAACCTTGGAGGTCTTGGAGTGGTCCAGGTACCAGAACTTGACGTGGCGGTTGCCGGCGGTAACAAAGTACGAGCTGTCGTCCGAGAAGGAGACGGCGGTCACTTTACTGGACACCTTGTTGGCTGCAACCACCACGTTTTCTGCTCAACAGACACAGAACAACAAAAGCAACAACAGATCAGCTCGCCGGTGAAATCCAGACTGGAGATCCCGCCCTGCTGTTTTCTGTCAGCCAATCAGGCTGCACTTCACGTCCACGTCCGCCCAGACTCACATAATATCTGCAGTGAGCACTTGGAAGGACCTGAATAACCCACGAGACGAGAAGAGATAGTCAGCCTTCCCTCCTGTCTGTCTGGGGAAGTGACCTCTTTACTACTTTTCACCTCCGTCAGAAATGAAATCATTTTAATGAAGCTAGAAACTCCAGGACTTTAACAGCTCCTGTGTTTCAGCAGCTTTCTGCTCACGTTCAAAACTCCCTGCACGTTCAGAGTCGCTCCCACAGATCTGTGTTCTCCGACACGTCCAGAGGAAAGGAGAACATTTTACTGAGAACACGATATCTCCTCAAATCTAAACTAAGATTCAAAACAACAGGCCTTGAACGCACCGTCCTGCTGGCTCTGTGACGCAGCGCTCCTCTGCAGGACGTCTGCGCCGACCTGCAGCCAATCAGAGCGAGCTGAGCGTGTTGTATAAACCTGCAGATTCTCTCTTCTCACATCGACTTCATCCACAGGGCGTCTTAAAGGGGCCCTGTTATGCTTTTCAGTATTTTCTGCTTATCTATTATATTACAGAGTCGGATGTTGAAGGAGGTAAAAGTGTCCTGTGAGCCAAAGACTCAGATTTCCCACGCTTCTGAACGCTCCGTTTTGCTAACAGCTCTGTATGACGTCACACAGAGACGGATTTCCTTTTATGGTCATTTGCTGCCGGCTACGCCCACAAAGGAATCCTGCAGGGTCTTGGCCAATCAGAAGACAGTGGGCTTTTACGGGAGGGGGGCCTTAAAGAGACAGGAGCATCTACAGCTTGCTTCAGACAGAGGCTGAAACGAGGGCCGGCATGAAGAACCGGTGTGAGACAGAATCATGCAAAGCTGCCGTACAGGAGACTCAGGCTGGAGATGCAGAGTGACAGCAGCAGGTCTTCAGGTGCTCCAGCCCCCCCATCATCAGGGCATGTGATCAGACCCTTGGACTCTCGTTGGACCATCGTCTGAATAGGCGCCACATTTATTTTCTGCTTTTAGTCGCTGCTGAACTTTCACATTAAAAGTCTTAGACAGCAGAAACGACTTTTCATTTTATCTGAATTGAAACTTGTTGCACCTCCTCTTCTTCTTCTTCTTCTGTCTTTATGTGTGCAGCCGTGAAGGAAGTACTAAAGTACAAAAGTCTACTTAAAGTAAAAGTACTCATCGTGCAGGACTTCCTGTTTCCTGTTCTGCCGTTACCTTCCAGTTCCAGACGTTGACCATCATGTCGTGCTGGTAGCCCACGCTGACGATGTACTTCCCGTTGGGAGAGAACGCCACACAGGCAACGCCATATTTATGTTCCTGCAGCTCCGCCACCTGCACACGCTCAGACACCTCCCAGACTCGAACCGCCGGCATGTGACCGCTCTGGGGGAGGAGGAAGAGGAGGAGGAGGAGGAGGAGGAAGAGGAAGAGAAGGAAGAGGAAGAGGAGGAGGAAGAGGAGGAGGAGGAGGAAGAGGAAGAGGAAGAGAAGGAAGAGGAGGAATATTAGAATTAAATATTTCTCTGATTAAAAATCCTACTTTTGTTCCATAACATCGTTTAAACATGATGAAGTTCAGGATGTTTCAGATTCGTTCTTTCATTAGTTAATAACAGCAGCTGACCAAACTGACCGCTGCTCTCCAGCTGTCTGCGTCAGGCTCCATCCAGCCGGAGGGAACGAACGCCGACGGTCTGCAGCGCGCCGGCTCGCCCCTCGCCCTCACGCCCCTCCCCCTCCCCCCTCACGCTCCTCCCCCTCGCCCTCACGCCTGCGTCGGGCTCCATCCAGCCGGAGGGAACGAACGCCGACGGTCTGCAGCGCGCCGGCTCGCCCCTCGCCCTCACGCCCCTCCCCCTCCCCCCTCACGCTCCTCCCCTCGCCCTCACGCCTGCGTCGGGCTCCATCCAGCCGGAGGGAACGAACGCCGACGGTCTGCAGCGCGCCGGCTCGCCCCTCGCCCTCACGCCCCTCCCCCTCCCCCCTCACGCTCCTCCCCCTCGCCCTCACGCCTGCGTCAGGCTCCATCCAGCCGGAGGGAACGAACGCCAACGGTCTGCAGCGCGCCGGCTCGCCCCTCGCCCTCACGCCCCCCCCCCCCCCCCCTCACGCTCCTCCCCCTCGCCCTCACGCCTGCGTCGGGCTCCATCCAGCCGGAGGGAACGAACGCCGACGGTCTGCAGCGTGCCGGCTCGCCCCTCGCCCTCACGCCCCTCCCCCTCCCCCTCACGCTCCTCACCCTCATGCCTGCGTCGGGCTCCATCCAGCCGGAGAAAACGAACGCCGACGGTCTGCAGCGCCCTCACGCCTTACTTTACTTTTCCACCAGCTAGAGTTTAATAAAATCATTATTATTATGTCATTATTGTCTCATTATGTCACACGACGTGAAGGCCTGACGGAACAAAAGGATCCTGATGCACGTGTTCCATAAATTCAAGATATACATGATGATGTCACTATTGTTATAAGTGTTTAAATCATCCCAGCTGGTCCAATCAGATCTGCTGTCTGTGCCTGTGAGACTTTAACGCCCTGAATTCTGCCTCTCAGGGTTTCAGGCAGGCGGAAGTGAATTTCTGCCTCTGACTGCTTTTTATTGCCAAATTAAAAGAAATAAAAATAGTTTTATGATGGAACGTTTTTTATTGCTGTTTGCATGTTTTTCCTTCACAATGTTTGAGGACACCGTCTGCAGATTCATTTAGCGTCCAGCAGCAGCTCTGATCAACTGATCAGTGATCAGCCGAGTTCCTGCTGAGAGACCTTCTGTTACCTCCTCCACGTCTCCTCATCTCTCCTTCCTCCTTCTGTATTATATTGTATATTTATTGTAATTATCAGTAGCTCATCATACAGAACGAGCACAATCCAACCTGAGAAGTAGAATAACTGTAGAACATAATCAGAAAGGAAACAACAGTTTTTCATTTTCTCGTTCCTCTCCTCGGTCTCTCAGGTCAGTGAGAGACGGTAGGAAACGGGAAACGGTAACGTCGACCGGATGAACTGACCGTCTGCCACCGTCTCCCAGCATGCACCAGAGCGCTCCAGAGATAATTAACCCTTTAAACTCTGCAGCAGAAATGGTTCAGTATCAGCATTTCTTGGAGAATCTTCAAATGTCTCAAAAATGTGTCCAAGCCGAGCTAAAAGGTAAGTAAATAAAAACATTATAATAAAAATCAGACCAGCCTTCAGCCAGCTTTACTGAATAAATCCACAAAGTACGTTGATCAAAACCATCTAGAAACATTCAATAAAAAGGGGAAAAAGCTTCTTCGTCACCGCCGTAAACAAGATGTCCAAAACCTCCTCAGGGTGTCTTTTCCTCGCCACCAAGGTGGTGGTCTTTCAGATGCTTTTAAGGTGGTTTGAAATGTTTCTATGGTGCTTTAAGGGTTGTTTTAAAAGGTTTTAAAGGTGGTATTAGGTTGTTTCAAATGCTTTTAAGGTGGTTTGAAATGTTTCTATGGTGCTTTAAGTGTTGTTTTAAAAGGTTTTAAAGGTGGTATTAGGTTGTTTCAAATGCTTTTAAGGTGGTTTGAAATGTTTCTATGGTGCTTTAAGTGTTGTTTAAAAGGTTTTAAAGGTGGTATTAGGTTGTTTTAAAAAGGTTTAAATGGTGATTTAAAAAGGTTTAAATGGTGTTTTAAAGGTTTTAAAGGAGGTTTTAGGTTGTTTCAAATGCTTTTAAGGTGGTTTGAAATGTTTCTATGGTGCATTAAGGTTTGTTTTAAAGGTGGTTTTAGGTTGTTTCAAATGCTTTTAAGGTGGTTTGAAATGTTTCTATGGTGCATTAAGGTTTGTTTTAAAGGTGGTTTTAGGTTGTTTCAAATGCTTTTAAGGTGGTTTAAAATGTTTCTATGGTGCATTAAGGTTTGTTTTAAAGGTGGTTTTAGGTTGTTTCAAATGTTTTTAAGGTGTTTTAAAAAGGTTTAAATAGTGTTTTAAAGGTTTTAAAGGTGGTTTTAGGTTGTTTCAAATGCTTTTAAGGTGGTTTGAAATGTTTCTATGGTGGTTAAGGTTTGTTTTAAAGGTTTTAAAGGTGGTTTTAGGTTGTTTCAAATGCTTTTAAGGTGGTTTGAAATGTTTCTATGGTGGTTAAGGTTTGTTTTAAAGGTCTTTTTAGGTTGTTTCAAATGTTTTTAAGGTGTTTTAAAAAGGTTTAAGTGTTGTTTAAAAGGTTTTAAAGGTGGTATTAGGTTGTTTCAGATGTTTTTAAGGTGTTTTAAAAAGTTTCAAATGCTTTTAAGGTGGTTTGAAATGTTTCTATGGTGCTTTAAGGGTTGTTTCAAATGTTTTAAAGGTGGTTTTAGGTTATTTCAAATGCTTTTAGGGTGGTTTGAAATGTTTCTATGGTGCTTTAAGGGTTGTTTCAAATGTTTTAAAGGTGGTTTTAGGTTGTTTCAAATGCTTTTAAGGTGGTTTGAAATGTTTCTATGGTGGTTAAGGTTTGTTTTAAAGGTTTTAAAGGTGGTTTTAGGTTGTTTCAAATGCTTTTAAGGTGGTTTGAAATGTTTCTATGGTGCTTTAAGGGTTGTTTCAAATTTTTTAAAGGTGGTTTTAGGTTGTTTCAAATGTTTTTAAGGTGTTTTAAAAAGGTTTAAATGGTGTTTCAAAAGGTTTTAAAGGTGGTTTTAGGTTGTTTCAAATGCTTTTAGGGTGGTTTGAAATGTTTCTATGGTGCATTAAGGTTTGTTTTAAAGGTGGTTTTAGGTTGTTTCAAATGTTTTTAAGGTGTTTTAAAAAGGTTTAAATAGTGTTTTAAAAGGTTTTAAAGGTGGTTTTAGGTTGTTTCAAATGCTTTTAAGGTGGTTTGAAATGTTTCTATGGTGGTTAAGGTTTGTTTTAAAGGTCTTTTTAGGTTGTTTCAAATGTTTTTAAGGTGTTTTAAAAAGGTTTAAGTGTTGTTTAAAAGGTTTTAAAGGTGGTATTAGGTTGATTCAGATGTTTTTAAGGTGTTTTAAAAAGTTTCAAATGCTTTTAAGGTGGTTTGAAATGTTTCTATGGTGGTTAAGGTTTGTTTTAAAGGTGGTTTTAGGTTGTTTCAAATGCTTTTAAGGTGGTTTGAAATGTTTCTATGGTGCTTTAAGGGTTTGTTTTAAAGGTGGTTTTAGGTTGTTTCAAATGCTTTTAAGGTGGTTTGAAATGTTTCTATGGTGGTTAAGGTTTGTTTTAAAGGTTTTAAAGGTGGTTTTAGGTAGTTTCAAATGCTTTTAAGGTGGTTTGAAATGTTTCTATGGTGTGTTAAGGTTTGTTATAAAGGTGGTTTTAAGTTGTTTCAAATGTTTTTAAGGTGTTTTAAAAAGGTTTAAATAGTGTTTTAAAAGGTTTTAAAGGTGGTTTTACGTTGTTTCAAATGCTTTTAAGGTGGTTTGACATGTTTCTATGGTGTGTTAAGGTTTGTTATAAAGGTGGTTTTAAGTTGTTTCAAATGTTTTTAAGGTGTTTTAAAAAGGTTTAAATGGTGTTTTAAAGGTTTTAAAGGTGGTTTTACGTTGTTTCAAATGCTTTTAAGTTGGTTTGAAATGTTTCTATGGTGGTTAAGGTTTGTTTTAAAGGTTTTAAAGGTGGTTTTAGGTTGTTTCAAATGTTTTCAAGGTTTTTTAAAAAGGTTTAAATGGTGTTTCAAAAGGTTTTAAAGGTGGTTTTAGGTTGTTTCAAATGCTTTTAGGGTGGTTTGAAATGTTTCTATGGTGCTTTAAGGGTTGTTTCAAAAGGTTTTAAAGGTGGTATTAGGTTGTTTCAAATGCTTTGAAGGTGGTTTGAAATGTTTCTATGGTGCTTTAAGTGTTGTTTAAAAGGTTTTAAAGGTGGTATTAGGTTATTTCAGATGTTTTTAAGGTGTTTTAAAAAGTTTCAAATGCTTTTAAGGTGGTTTGAAATGTTTCTATGGTGGTTAAGGTTTGTTTTAAAGGTTTTAAAGGTGGTTTTACGTTGTTTCAAATGCTTTTAAGGTGGTTTGAAATGTTTCTATGGTGCTTTAAGGTTTGTTTTAAAGGTGGTTTTAAGTTGTTTCAAATGTTTTTAAGGTGTTTTAAAAAGGTTTAAATGGTGTTTTAAAGGTTTTAAAGGTGGTTTTACGTTGTTTCAAATGCTTTTAAGGTGGTTTGAAATGTTTCTATGGTGGTTAAGGTTTGTTTTAAAGGTTTTAAAGGTGGTTTTAGGTTGTTTCAAATGTTTTTAAGGTGTTTTAAAAAGGTTTAAATAGTGTTTTAAAGGTTTTAAAGGTGGTTTTACGTTGTTTCAAATGCTTTTAATGTGGTTTGAAATGTTTCTATGGTGGTTAAGGTTTGTTTTAAAGGTTTTAAAGGTGGTTTTAGGTTGTTTCAAATGCTTTAAAGGTGGTTTTAGGTCGTTTCAAATGCTTTTAGGGTGGTTTGAAATGTTTCTATGGTGGTTAAGGTTTGTTTTAAAGGTTTTAAAGGTGGTTTTAGGTTGTTTCAAATGCTTTTAAGGTGGTTTGAAATGTGTCTATGGTGCTTTAAGGGTTGTTTCAAATTTTTTAAAGGTGGTTTTAGGTTGTTTCAAATGTTTTTAAGGTGTTTTAAAAAGGTTTAAATGGTGTTTTAAAGGTTTTAAAGGTGGTTTTAGGTTGTTTCAAATGTTTTTAAGGTGTTTTAAAAAGGTTTAAATGGTGTTTCAAAAGGTTTTAAAGGTGGTTTTAGGTTGTTTCAAATGCTTTTAGGGTGGTTTAAAATGTTTCTATGGTGCATTAAGGTTTGTTTTAAAGGTGGTTTTAGGTTGTTTCAAATGTTTTTAAGGTGTTTTAAAAAGGTTTAAATAGTGTTTTAAAAGGTTTTAAAGGTGGTTTTAGGTTGTTTCAATGCTTTTAAGGTGGTTTGAATGTTTCTATGGTGGTTAAGGTTTGTTTTAAAGGACTTTTCGGTTGTTTCAAATGTTTTTAAGGTGTTTTAAAAAGGTTTAAGTGTTGTTTAAAAGGTTTTAAAGGTGGTATTAGGTTGTTTCAGATGTTTTTAAGGTGTTTTAAAAAGTTTCAAATGCTTTTAAGGTGGTTTGAAATGTTTCTATGGTGGTTAAGGTTTGTTTTAAAGGTGGTTTTAGGTTGTTTCAAATGCTTTTAGGGTGGTTTGAAATGTTTCTATGGTGCTTTAAGGGTTGTTTCAAATGTTTTAAAGGTGGTATTAGGTTATTTCAAATGCTTTTAAGGTGGTTTGAAATGTTTCTATGGTTGTTAAGGTTTGTTTTAAAGGTTTTAAAGGTGGTTTTAGGTAGTTTCAAATGCTTTTAAGGTGGTTTGAAATGTTTCTATGGTGTGTTAAGGTTTGTTATAAAGGTGGTTTTAAGTTGTTTCAAATGTTTTTAAGGTGTTTTAAAAAGGTTTAAATAGTGTTTTAAAAGGTTTTAAAGGTGGTTTTACGTTGTTTCAAATGCTTTTAAGGTGGTTTGACATGTTTCTATGGTGTGTTAAGGTTTGTTATAAAGGTGGTTTTAAGTTGTTTCAAATGTTTTTAAGGTGTTTTAAAAAGGTTTAAATGGTGTTTTAAAGGTTTTAAAGGTGGTTTTACGTTGTTTCAAATGCTTTTAAGTTGGTTTGAAATGTTTCTATGGTGGTTAAGGTTTGTTTTAAAGGTTTTAAAGGTGGTTTTAGGTTGTTTCAAATGTTTTCAAGGTTTTTTAAAAAGGTTTAAATGGTGTTTCAAAAGGTTTTAAAGGTGGTTTTAGGTTGTTTCAAATGCTTTTAGGGTGGTTTGAAATGTTTCTATGGTGCTTTAAGGGTTGTTTCAAAAGGTTTTAAAGGTGGTATTAGGTTGTTTCAAATGCTTTGAAGGTGGTTTGAAATGTTTCTATGGTGCTTTAAGTGTTGTTTAAAAGGTTTTAAAGGTGGTATTAGGTTATTTCAGATGTTTTTAAGGTGTTTTAAAAAGTTTCAAATGCTTTTAAGGTGGTTTGAAATGTTTCTATGGTGGTTAAGGTTTGTTTTAAAGGTTTTAAAGGTGGTTTTACGTTGTTTCAAATGCTTTTAAGGTGGTTTGAAATGTTTCTATGGTGCTTTAAGGTTTGTTTTAAAGGTGGTTTTAAGTTGTTTCAAATGTTTTTAAGGTGTTTTAAAAAGGTTTAAATGGTGTTTTAAAGGTTTTAAAGGTGGTTTTACGTTGTTTCAAATGCTTTTAAGGTGGTTTGAAATGTTTCTATGGTGGTTAAGGTTTGTTTTAAAGGTTTTAAAGGTGGTTTTAGGTTGTTTCAAATGTTTTTAAGGTGTTTTAAAAAGGTTTAAATAGTGTTTTAAAGGTTTTAAAGGTGGTTTTACGTTGTTTCAAATGCTTTTAATGTGGTTTGAAATGTTTCTATGGTGGTTAAGGTTTGTTTTAAAGGTTTTAAAGGTGGTTTTAGGTTGTTTCAAATGCTTTAAAGGTGGTTTTAGGTCGTTTCAAATGCTTTTAGGGTGGTTTGAAATGTTTCTATGGTGGTTAAGGTTTGTTTTAAAGGTTTTAAAGGTGGTTTTAGGTTGTTTCAAATGCTTTTAAGGTGGTTTGAAATGTGTCTATGGTGCTTTAAGGGTTGTTTCAAATTTTTTAAAGGTGGTTTTAGGTTGTTTCAAATGTTTTTAAGGTGTTTTAAAAAGGTTTAAATGGTGTTTTAAAGGTTTTAAAGGTGGTTTTAGGTTGTTTCAAATGTTTTTAAGGTGTTTTAAAAAGGTTTAAATGGTGTTTCAAAGGTTTTAAAGGTGGTTTTAGGTTGTTTCAAATGCTTTTAGGGTGGTTTAAAATGTTTCTATGGTGCATTAAGGTTTGTTTTAAAGGTGGTTTTAGGTTGTTTCAAATGTTTTTAAGGTGTTTTAAAAAGGTTTAAATAGTGTTTTAAAGGTTTTAAAGGTGGTTTTAGGTTGTTTCAAATGCTTTTAAGGTGGTTTGAAATGTTTCTATGGTGGTTAAGGTTTGTTTTAAAGGACTTTTCGGTTGTTTCAAATGTTTTTAAGGTGTTTTAAAAAGGTTTAAGTGTTGTTTAAAAGGTTTTAAAGGTGGTATTAGGTTGTTTCAGATGTTTTTAAGGTGTTTTAAAAAGTTTCAAATGCTTTTAAGGTGGTTTGAAATGTTTCTATGGTGGTTAAGGTTTGTTTTAAAGGTGGTTTTAGGTTGTTTCAAATGCTTTTAGGGTGGTTTGAAATGTTTCTATGGTGCTTTAAGGGTTGTTTCAAATGTTTTAAAGGTGGTATTAGGTTGTTTCAAATGCTTTTAAGGTGGTTTGAAATGTTTCTATGGTGGTTAAGGTTTGTTTTAAAGGTTTTAAAGGTGGTTTTAGGTTGTTTCAAATGCTTTTAGGTGGTTTGAAATGTTTCTATGGTGCTTTAAGTGTTGTTTAAAAGGTTTTAAAGGTGGTATTAGGTTATTTCAGATGTTTTTAAGGTGTTTTAAAAAGTTTCAAATGCTTTAAGGTGGTTTGAAATGTTTCTATGGTGGTTAAGGTTTGTTTTAAAGGTTTTAAAGGTGGTTTTACGTTGTTTCAAATGCTTTTAAGGTGGTTTGACATGTTTCTATGGTGTGTTAAGGTTTGTTTTAAAGGTGGTTTTAAGTTGTTTCAAATGTTTTTAAGGTGTTTTAAAAGGTTTAAATGGTGTTTTAAAGGTTTTAAAGGTGGTTTTACGTTGTTTCAAATGCTTTTAAGGTGGTTTGAAATGTTTCTATGGTGGTTAAGGTTTGTTTTAAAGGTTTTAAAGGTGGTTTTAGGTTGTTTCAAATGTTTTTAAGGTGTTTTAAAAAGGTTTAAATAGTGTTTTAAAGGTTTTAAAGGTGGTTTTACGTTGTTTCAAATGCTTTTAATGTGGTTTGAAATGTTTCTATGGTGGTTAAGGTTTGTTTTAAAGGTTTTAAAGGTGGTTTTAGGTTGTTTCAAATGCTTTAAAGGTGGTTTTAGGTCGTTTCAAATGTTTTTAAGGTGTTTTAAAAAGGTTTAAATGGTGTTTTAAAGGTTTTAAAGGAGGTTTTAGGTTGTTTCAAATGCTTTTAAGGTGGTTTGAAATGTTTCTATGGTGCTTTAAGGGTTGTTTCAAATGTTTTAAAGGTGGTTTTAGGTTGTTTCAAATGCTTTTAAGGTGGTTTGAAATGTTTCTATGGTGCTTTAAGGGTTGTTTCAAATGTTTTAAAGGTGGTTTTAGGTTGTTTCAAATGTTTTTAAGGTGTTTTAAAAAGGTTTAAATAGTGTTTTAAAGGTTTTAAAGGTGGTTTTAGGTTGTTTCAAATGCTTTTAAGGTGGTTTGAAATGTTTCTATTTTAGTTAAGGTTTCCTTTAAAGGTTTTAAAGGTGGTTTTAGGTTGTTTCAGATGGTTTTAAGGCGTTTTAAAAAGGTTTAAATGGTGTTTTAAGGTTTTAAAGGTGATTTTAGGTTGTTTCAGATGTTTTTCAAAAGACAGAAGAATAAACAACAAAAGATCTGGTTTGTTTTTCTCACTTTCATCCAGTTTCCTTCTTTCTTCCTGTGAAACGTCTCTGGACGTTTAACAAGTTCAAAATGAGACAATCTGCCCACAACCTGTAACGAGGGTTTGTGAGCGGAGCTGAAACTATTGGCTGATCAACAGGAGATTATTTTGATGTTTCAGTTTCTCCGGTGTGTCACATGTTTGACCTCGCTCTCTGGAGACGTTACTTTGGACTCTCATTTCACAGACTAAAAGATTAATGAATTAATCAATAAAACTATTTGCCAGAGTAATCAGTACTGAGAATAATCATTAGCTGCAGCTCTTCTTCTGATTAAATAAACTTTAAAACGTTTAATACCTGTGAATAAAATTACAACCACAACTGATTTGATCTCCTAAATTATTTCCTCCTGAGGTGATTCTGGCGTGATCAGCGCCGACACTGAGCATGCTCAGATCCACTCAGGTGTTCACACCTGCACTACTCACCTCTCCTGTGACGACATATTTCCCATCGGGAGAAAACGCTAACGTGGTGATCGCCTTCCTGAAAAACACAGAAAAAGAATTTTATTGTGTTTCATCTCGCTTCTGATTGGCTGACAGACGTCTGTCAACGCACCCGTACTCAGGTCAACAATTTAACCTGTGTTGCATTACCCTGCAGGTTCCCATAGCAACAGGGCTGATGTTTGTGTGACATGTGACATTTTCCTCACAGAGTTCAGTGGAGAGAAAAATAATAAAGCTTAACTTTAAAACCAAGTTACAGAGACAGGACTTGGCTGAAGTTTTACCTGGAGCTGTTGAAGATGTGATGCTGTTTGTTCTTCCGAGGATTCAACAGGACGACGACACACCTGCGCGCGCGCACACACACACACACACACACACACACACACACAGGTTAGCAGGTAAACACACAAACACGTGATGAAACAAAGTGCGCTCCACCCACTGCACAAACTACCAGCTGCGTTCTGACATTGTTCCAAAGAATAAACACCATCCGGTCGACGGGTCAATGTGTTCAAAACGTTGCTTTATGACCTGCAGACTTTCCCATCAGCCTCAGCTGTACGCTGTGTTTAGGCTAATTAGCCAGTGCTAGCATGCTAACATGGTAAACATCAGCATGGCGGCTTTGAGCTGCGAGTCAGTCTCTGCAGAAACTCCCTCTGAGGCTGCACACTGCATGTTTGAGACTTCAGAAACCTGAACCTGGTTTTCTTCTAACGTCTGGAGCAAAACCTGAAGGTTCAGGTTTCTCTTCCAAAACAAGAAACGGCTTCCTAAACTAAAGATCACAGTTTCTGCACACGCTCAGTCTCTCTGCTGCATAAACAGCGAGCGGTTTAATGAGTCTCTGTTTGGTGACTCAGTCTGTCCGACCTGAACCTTCAGAAGCAGCTCAGAATGTTTCCTGCTCAGACTGGGTCAGACCACATACTGACCCGCTCTGGACCTGGTCTGTACCTAAACCTTACAGTTAACAAAAGCTAACGAAAGGTGTTTATCTGAACGGGGACAAATCACACTAATAAGACCGAATCGTCTCTGGACAGGTGGAAATATGTCACATCTGAAAAGAGCCAATAAAATAAAAAGTAACTTTACTAAAAGGGGAAAAAACATAGAAACAAGAACAAAACTAGGTGTGAACATTTTTCTTCATCAGCTTAAAAAATAAAAAGGAGGCTTTACAAAACTAAGTGAAGCTGCTTCGTCTGTTTCTTTAGTTTGTTACTAAACTAAAGTTACAGAGCAAATGTCTTTCGTCAGTTTATTCCATCGGCCGACAGAAGCCATCGTTCAAATCCATCGTTCTTAGCTGTGTTTTAGTCCACGCACCTCGCCTGGCGTCATGGCGATAGCCTCGACCTAAACTGCTCTGTCACTGTTCAGTTGGTTTGGACCAAAGAAAAGTTCACGCAGGCCCGGGGAGAACCCACGCAGACATAGGGAGGACATGCAAAGTCCAGACAGAAAGGCCGGGACGACCGGGGTTTGAACCTGCGACCTTGTTGCTGTGAGGCCACCGTACAGATTCAGATCAATAAAGTTTAATCTAATCAACGTATTAATGGTGATTTATTATAATAGATCCTGATGGAGACTTTCACGAGATAAAAGTAGCTCCGCCTCCACCAGCCGCACCGTAAACGCATCGGTGCATCAAGACTTACAGATAAAATGTGGCCCCGCTGAAAAGGGACATGAACATCTCGGTTTGAGATTTATTACCTTTTTTACAACAAACACTCATTTTCTAACGTTTTTACTTTATTTTGTTGTAGGTCACTAGTCTGTTTATATCGGCGGTTGTGTTCAGGAGTTCCTGGAAATCAGCTTTATTCAAAGAAACAATAATCTGAAGTAAACCTGGTTACAGCTCTGGAACCTTTATATTCTACCGTTTCCTCTGTTAGTCTTCAAACCCACTGATATGTGCGTGGGAATATTATGTTACGTATTCTGCACATCGAACATTTGGTCTGATATGAAGCGCTTGTTGTTGGAAGCTGCTGTACTATTAAAGTTGCTTTAGCGCCCGCGGCCGCTCAGACTCGTCTTTGAACCTTTGAGACGACTTCTGCTCCTCTCTTCTGTTTATTCGCCATCAGCACGTATGTGTGTGCGTTTGAGGAGTTGCAGGTGTCACATCAAAGCCCTCTCTGACCTTTGACCTCTCAGCAGACAAAAAGGAGAGAAACCGGTCTCTGTTTGTTCCGACTCGTCCAGCTGACAACAGGTGATGATCTCAGCTCACCTGTGACATCATCACCCTGTCTGATCAGGTAGGAGCCAATCAGAGCACAGACAGATGAGGTAGAGGGCTGCTGTAAACACCCCCACCCCCTCTTTCTTTAACACCAGTCAAACCAGTTGTACTTCCCTGTCAGAGCGGGCCCTTACGTCGTGAGAGCCGCTCCACTCCCGACTTTGTGATCCAATATGGCTGCTCCGTGTCAACAGTTATTTATTTATTAGCACTTCTGCGTCTCATATAAATGTCCGTCCACAAAGTTGTGTTGCTGCTGTCTTTAGTACGCGTCAATACTGCGAGACACGTTTTTATCAACAGCTAACCTGGCTGGTTGTAAACGACGGGTGGCCGAGCGAAGTTTTCTGACTTCTAACTGGAACTCACTTTCAGCTCCGACAGTCCTGTGTACAGATCCTGCTCCGCCTGAGAAGACAAGCTCGGGGGCTGACTGTTCACGCAGAAGATCCTTACTCAAGTAAAAGTAGCAGAAAATATTCAGCTACAAGTAAACGTCAAAGTAAAAGTACTGTTTTAATCAGCTTCATGAAGGGAACATTTATTCATTTAGCTGACTTACAGGGGGGGCTGTCCGAGGTCTGGACCAACGAGGGGTTAAGTGTCTTGCTCAGGGTCACAGTGGGGGTTCGAACCCTGGTCTCTCACACCAAAGGCGTGCGTCTTATCCACTGCTCCATCACCACCACTGGAACCTTTCATTGGCAAATGTATGTGCCTCGTTTTGCACGGTTTGACGACTGATGAGATCGGATGCAGTAAACGTCTCATTAAAGCTCCTTAAATCCATTTCTGTCCATATTAACACGTTAAATTCAACGGTTCTCTTTGTGTGCGTCTCACACAGACACAGCTGCTGCTGCTGGACTCTAAGGCAAAGCACCATCACGTGATGGATTTCAGAGGAGGAGCGGTTTTAGGTTGTTTCAAATGCTTTTAAGGTGGTTTGAAATGTTTCTATGGTGCTTTAAGGGTTGTTTCAAATGTTTTAAAGGTGGTTTTAGGTTGTTTCAAATGTTTTTAAGGTGTTTTAAAAAGGTTTAAATAGTGTTTTAAAGGTTTTAAAGGTGGTTTTACGTTGTTTCAAATGCTTTTAATGTGGTTTGAAATGTTTCTATGGTGCTTTAAGGGTTGTTTCAAATGTTTTAAAGGTGGTTTTAGGTTGTTTCAAATGTTTTTAAGGTGTTTTAAAAAGGTTTAAATAGTGTTTTAAAGGTTTTAAAGGTGGTTTTACGTTGTTTCAAATGCTTTTAATGTGGTTTGAAATGTTTCTATGGTGGTTAAGGTTTGTTTTAAAGGTTTTAAAGGTGGTTTTAGGTTGTTTCAAATGCTTTAAAGGTGGTTTTAGGTCGTTTCAAATGTTTTAAGGTGTTTTAAAAAGGTTTAAATGGTGTTTTAAAGGTTTTAAAGGAGGTTTTAGGTTGTTTCAAATGCTTTTAATGTGGTTTGAAATGTTTCTATGGTGCTTTAACGGTTGTTTCAAATGCTTTAAAGGTGGTTTTAGGTCGTTTCAAATGTTTTTAAGGTGTTTTAAAAAGGTTTAAATGGTGTTTTAAAGGTTTTAAAGGAGGTTTTAGGTTGTTTCAAATGCTTTTAAGGTGGTTTGAAATGTTTCTATGGTGCTTTAAGGGTGTTTCAAATGTTTTAAAGGTGGTTTTAGGTTGTTTCAAATGCTTTTAAGGTGGTTTGAAATGTTTCTATGGTGCTTTAAGGGTTGTTTCAAATGTTTTAAAGGTGGTTTGAAATGTTTCTATGGTGCTTTAAGGGTTGTTTCAAATGTTTTAAAGGTGGTTTTAGGTTGTTTCAAATGCTTTTAAGGTGGTTTGAAATGTTTCTATGGTGCTTTAAGGGTTGTTTCAAATGTTTTAAAGGTGGTTTGAAATGTTTCTATGGTGCTTTAAGGGTTGTTTCAAATGTTTTAAAGGTGGTTTGAAATGTTTCTATGGTGCTTTAAGGGTTGTTTCAAATGTTTTAAAGGAGGTTTTAGGTTGTTTCAAATGTTTTAAAGGTGGTTTGAAATGTTTCTATGGTGCTTTAAGGGTTGCCATCACGTGATGGATTTCAGAGGAGGAGCGGGGCCAGTGCTGTCAAATCCTGAACGTCACTGCAAACAGCTGAGTGCAGGAGGAGGAGTCCACTGAGCTCCCGTTCCTCAGAGAGGCAGACGTTAAGCTGAATAAGACAGAAAAGCAGCCTGCTCATAAACAGCAGCAGCTACAGCGCGCACAGTGTAACGGCTGGGGATAAAATGAAAAAGTCTCGCAGGCGGCGAAACAACAAGAAAATGTACCATTAATCTTTTCAGGTTTAGAAAATAAACTAACATGTGGTTGTCAGACACAGAGGAAGAGGCAGACCCCGAAACGACCAGGCTTTAAAACAGCGGCGCAGCTGATCCAGTGTGAAATCTTTGACAATGTCCTCAGTAAAAAATCCAAAAGGATCTTATCTGGCAGCTGTGCGACCCTCTGCTCCTCTTCTTAAAACTCCTTCACTGTGTGAAAGGCCCCGGTGCATCTGCACTGTGTATACCTGGGCCCCTCTGTGCACTTAGTGTGAGCTGCTGTGGATAACAGCTAGAGGACAAACAGAAACGTTGGAGCCTTGGACAGAAGCAGGCCAGCTGTCTTCTAGCCTAGCTTAGCAAAAAGACTCCCTACAGACAGATCACCTCGCTCTGCGCCGCTCCTCTAATCGGCCCCCGATCACTCGTCCATCTGTGGATCTGATCAGACGTGTTCATGCAGGTCAATCAGCTGATCGCACACACGTGTAATCCCCGTGTGAGTCACCGGGCTGCGTGTGTGCGTGGAGATGAACAGACGCACTGATAAGTGTGTGCAGACTTAAGCAGCTGAGTCAGCAACCAATTATATTCTTCCTCATCAACACACACACACACACACACACACACACGTTTGTAGACGTTTGTAACCCCCGGGGGGGGCAGGGCGGGTCACGCCGGGCCAGAACACGCTTCTGTGAACAAGACACAAAGAGATAACTTATCACAGGTTTCCTGGAAGACGTTCATAGTGACCTCAGTCATACATACCCCCCCGTCTCACCGTCCACGAC